CAACTCACTTAGCTTTGCCCACACTGGCTCCCTCTCTGCTCTGGGCAAGCACTTGAGGTCCTTAAATTGTGGATCTAGAGCAGTCGCCACCTTTGATGAATAAAAAATAATAATTATTGATTGATGAAAATTTCACTTCCCAAATCCAACCTCCATATTTCTTCATGACTCATTCGTCTATTCATTGACCGATCTACTGGCTTAACAGTCTATAATGGTCAAACAATGCAGTTATCTTCTGGTCAGTCTGACATACCTTAAGCCATTCCAGGTTTATTTTCTCCCTCCGCTGGTTGAGGTCCTTGGTGAAGGCAGCCTTGAATCGCACAATATAGGCAGGATCATCATCTGAGATCTTCATCGCGTGCTGGAGGTGGCACAGGGCAGAACCACAGGGCAGGATACATACTTATCCCCACCAAGGAGCTCAGTGATATACCTACACAGACAGACAGACAGAGACACACACACACACACACACACACACACACAGACAGACAGACACAGAGCAATAAAATAATAAATGACTGATTTTTTAAACTCAGATTACACATTTTTAAAACTCTTAATCACATTACATTTACAGGCATGTGTTTCTTAAATACAAAGTGACATTTAAAAGAACTTGTATGCCAATTCATGAACACGCTATCTTTGTAGACCATACCTGCATGGCTCCAGCAGTTTCTCTAGCTTTGCCAACTTCTCATATTCAGCATTTGTTGGGAGGGCCAGATTGTGCTTCTGCTGAGACAGTGTTGTGTGCAGTGCGTCTCTGTTGCGCCTCACGCGGCTGATCATCTCAAGGGTGGAATTCCACCGTGTTGGAACATCTTGCACGAGTGGCTCCTGAACCTGTCCAAGGGAGGCTTGCTGGACATTCAGCTCGTCTGAGTTGGCCGGACTGTGTTTGAAATGTCCAACCACTTTACGGCACTTGGCCAGCGCACCATCAAAACCACCTTCCCGAAGTGACATTACAATAGCTGTCTGTACAACATGTGCAACACAGGGCAAATGCTCGAATGGCAGTATTCTCCCTGCTGCCACCATATTAGGAGCGCTGTCTGTTCCAATAGTACTAATTTTGTCAGCTATCCCCCACTGATTAGCGACGTCGAGAAACTGCCTGGCACACGCTTCTGCAAAGTGACGCTCCTCTGTTTTCATCACACCTAATGGACAGACAAAGTAGATCAGAATGATGTCATTCAAAATTACATAACGTTAACGTAGCTTACCTAAAGCGAAGGAGTGAAGTTCCCAGCTGGCATCGATAAGGTGTACAGTAACGCCGAGGTAGTTATCGTTGTTGACAGATGTCCAATAGTCCCCAGTCAGTGCTACACACCTCGCCTCTACCATCTTCAGACACACACATCCACGCTTCAACGGGGTCGCAGAACTTGTGTCAACACGATCTGCAGCTCCCCGATGCCCAATGGTTATCAAAGGAGTCCTGTAGAACTGCAGGCCCAAAGGGCCGATACCGTACACAATGACACTGCCAGCCACTGCTCCCACCACCTGAGCACTCATGTAGAAAAGGGCTCTAAGCGGACTGATATTGCGCCAAGAGGCCCAGCGTGATGGCGGGATTAAGGTGGGCACCGCTGCCGTGTCCCAGGCACTGCGCCAATGTGGCAACGGCCAAGCCGAAGGCCAACGCCACTTTTATCTCCTGGTCGAGGTAGGAGTTATTGCGGTCTTCTATTGCGGCCGAGAGGCCGATGAAGATGAAGACGATCGTCCCCAGACACTCTGCCCGGACTGCCCTCCAAAATCCCCACACTTTGATTTCCGACATGACCGCTCAGTTGAATCATGACTTGGCGACGGCAAACAGATTCTGGAGTGTCAGTGACGCGCGGAACTTATATGACATTTTATTCCTGAACACTTTCTACATTTTTTTTGTGGCTTCTGACAGTATTTGCTTCTTTATGGAGCGATACACATTCCCACAGATTTTTTTTGGATTGCTGTTCTGGAAATCTATAGATAATATCTAATAAGATAATGGCACATTTGCATACATGTAACGGAGGAAAGCGTGACTATGAATTATGTTCCTACAAGAAAGACTTTAGGAAAGAAGCAAAGCGGGGAATGTTGGTTTATGATGACAGTAATAACAATGTGATTAATATTTATAATAATAATAATGATAATGGCAGCAGCAGTTGCCAGCGTGGCCATGGCACGAGGCAGATCCGTGGAAACCTGTGAGGCAAGAAATACTCCCTCGAAGAAACAAAGTTAGTGATGGGCATTCATTTTGACAGTGATAGTAATGGGAATAATAATGGTGTTTGAAGCGGTAGCTGTCTGCGGGACCAGGCAGGAATCAGGACCAGGGTCCAGCAAAACCACAATCTACAGAAACCTGCGAATCGAGAAAGCACTAAAACACTAAAGCACTAAAACTCCTCTTTGATTCTGCCTATAGTTAGGGCTGGCTCAGGTTAGCCCGGACCAGCCCTTAGTTAAGCTGCTATAGGCTTAGACTGCCGGGGGACTTCTTAGGACACACCGAGCTCCTCTCTCACACTCTCGTTCTATGATAATTCACGTTTTATTAATGCACATGACTAATTCAGCTTCTTTCCGGGAGTTTTTTTTGTGCTTTCTCCCCTAGCAGGTCTCCGTAGATCGTAGTTCCTTCTGGACCCTGGTCCTGACACCTGCCGTGGCCCTGCTGACGCCTGCTGCTGCCATCTGTTACGTTTTGGGGGTGTTTGTGTTGGTTTGTGTCCTGTCTCTCCATGTACAGGAAATCTGCAGGCAAGATGGCTACCCTTCACCCAAGGTGTAGCCGATTGGATACGACCGACCTGGACTCCTCCCCTTCATTATTGGATGCAGCTGGTGCAGGTCTATAAAGACCTGTCATTGTAGATCTTTGAGGGGGAGGGTTCTGCAGCTCTGATGGCAGAGCGCTTCTGGTGGCTCGCTGGTGTCCTCTCTGCTGGTGGCTCGCTGGTGTCCTCTCTGCTGGTGGCTCGCTGGTGTCCTCTCTCCTGGTGGCTCGCTGGTGTCCTCTCTCCTGGTTCTGTGTTTATTTCCGTCGTTGGGGTTTGTGAGTATCTTGTTCAGAGAGAGAGAGAGAGGGAGTTTGTTTGTTAAAAGGTAGTCCCAGAGCGTGGGCTCTTTGGGTTAGTGTGTATGTTACATTTGTTTTGTATACTGTTTGTTATTTGAGTTAAACATTTTTCTTCCTGTGTTGCAGGGGGGGATATTGTTAGGGAAGAGACCCATGGGTATACACCACCCGTAGCTGACTGCCTGTCTAGATACACTAGGCAAGACCTGGGCGGACCACTCCCTGTACTTTTGGTTAGCGCGCCTCATCCGTGCCCGAGGTAGAGTAAAGGGGGGGGGGGGGGGGGATTAGGTCAGTTAGGGAAGTGTACACCCTTTTTGCTTGTTTCTTTGCTTTGGTCTCGCCCAGCCCCTTTTCCCCTGAACATTTGTTTGGTTTTTCCTTTTAAGGAGAGAATAAACCTCCCATTTTGTTTACACCGTTTGCCTGTGCCAGTAGTCGTCACTCACACCACGACCCCATACCTCTTGTCGCCGCGTTCATCAGGGCTCATGTTTGCGGGGGTTGCGCTCCCTCACACCTAGACTAAAGGAGACGTAACACCATCATCCTCATCATTATTATTTTAGATATTAATCATATTACTGTACTCGTAAACCAACATTACCCTCTCCTAAAGCCTCTGTGCTCTCCCTCCCCACAGGCTTCTGTAGATGGTGGTTCTATCTGATGGTGGTTGCCCCTGCAGTGGTCCTGCTGTGCGCCTGGCTTACTACTCACAATTACTTGAATCATTTCTGTCATAGGAATTGCATGTATTATACATTGTTCATTCTGTACACATGGCATCCATTGTAGTCTGTCCACCCCGGGAGTGGGATCCCTCCTGACGTTCTCCCTAAAGTTTCTTCCCTTTTTTCCTGTTTTTTCCCCCGTTTTTTTCTTTTTTCTGTATGTGTACAGACTGTAAAGCCCTCGGATGTCAATTATTATAGAAAGAGAAATAGAGAGAGAGAGAGAGAGCAGCTCGGTGAGTCCTAAGACATCCCCTGGCAGTCTGGGCCTATAGCAGCTTACATGAGCCACCCCTAACTATACTTGTTATCAAAGAGGAATATTTTAAGCTTTATCTTAAATAAAAGGGTCATCCCCACAATGTACAGTGTTCAACTACAACCACACTTAACCTACGCATTGCATAAACACTATTCAGGTTTGCTAGTTTTTCCAAGCCGGACCGCTGAAATTAGCAGATCAACATAGCATAGACTTGAAGAGTAGTGTATACAGTTCCTTATCTTTTTTACCAGCCTAGCTATTTACGTATGCAGTACAATATTGACACACTTGCTACTGATTTGTGCGCAGTGCTTTACAAAAACTAAAGAAAATCTCACATGTGTTTCTTAAGCGATAATTTTGCCCAAGCTAGCAGATAGCATATCTAACTAGCAGGGAATTCCAACTTCTAACTTCAAATGGAACACAACGGTATGATATTGGGCTACAAACTAATCTGATAGTTACCACATTCACACCAACAACCTACCTAGACGCTTTACTTTTGTTTGTAAAATGTTAATGTGCAGAGTCTATTCTTCTATAAAATACCCCTTGTGATTGTGCTTCCTCCTAGGAGATAGGAAAGTAGGCTACTTGGCTCCGACTCTTCAAATGGAAAGCAAACCGAAATGTACGACTGTTACCTCAACCTAGGGACAATGGTATTTGTAATTGTACCAATGGTAAAATGGTTGTAGAGTTGATGATGGGACCATCACTGTGAACATACTAGATACTACACAAGAAAACCCTCAGCAACTGTTGATCCCAAGTTAAAGGTTTTTCATGTTGACGCCACCAAACAACTCTATACTTTATTCAAGTTTAGGTACTGTACTGTATGTGTAGCCATCCCAGTATTCAACTGTGGCATGGAGTCAAATAAACAGATCAGTTACAGTTACAGATATACATTTTATTAAAAAAAACACAAGCATCACACGCAGTGATCATCACAAATAACAGTGCAGACAAGGAGCATTAATATTAGTAGTCATTTGTGGCATTTCTATCAAAGGATTAACTGTCATTGACATTTTAAGGAAGCTGAGGCTCATTCTGTTAGTCTGTCCATACAACACATTTGTCCATAGTATTCTAAAAACTGGTTAAGTCATTTTAATTGTTGCCATCATTTCAATCTGCCAACCAAAAATTCAAATATTATTACTAGATCACTAGGCATGAAATGAATTAAACATATGAAGTATGCAGTTACATCCACCCATTTTTATTCCCACAAAATAACTATGTGGAAATGCAGAAAATAACTACAAAATCTTGAATATAGAAATATTGGAAGCAGAAAAGTATGTGTCCACAAACACAAAATAAGACAAGGAAGGCATATTAATGAAGTAAAGTAAAGATGTGACTTAGTCAAAAAATATCATCAGATAAAAACCTCTGTACTCCACACAGACCTTATATACCTTCCTCACATTATCACATAAAACACACAGATTTGTCTTATTTGAGTTTTCTAAATGGTTTTCAATGTTGGTACATACAGGGGATTTTGCAGATTTAATATTGGTTTAAAACCTTTTCAGCTACTGGACCACTCTTATATTGGGAAAGTCGTCATTGACACTATATGCCTTTTATTCTGACTATCTCTACAGAAGAACATCTCTTTCAAACCCACAATGTTTTTTGCTCATGCTAACTAGTTGCAATTACACAAATATGGTACATAGTTAGGGTAGATTACCTGCCATACTTTTAGTCATTACAAATTTGGACATGACAAGAAAAGGTAAGAAAACAAGGCAGATTGGACAGGTTAATGACTCCACAAAGTGCCTATACAGTTTTGTCTATATCATTCAATGTTTTTGATGCATCATATCCTTTCTCCACAGCCTGGTTTATTTCAAGACGTGGTACCGTTTTGCAGCTTTACTGCATGACTGAAAACTTGATAATGTCAAGGTATTAGATGTTATAAATGACACCAATACTCTGAATTTGACAATGCTGTTCAGTATTTTCATCAATTGCAAAAAAAGCTGGCGTAGCTTTCAGCCAGGGTGCCATACCTGTATCAAAGGAATACCTCAACATTAAGAATAGTTATTGATCTTGTCATCAAACTATTGACAAAAAAGCAGAGCATATTTACCAACATGTCCAACTCTTCTTTATCAATGGTACTGTTTTCATGTGTTGTTCAAGCAGAAATACCTATAACATGCAAAATTTACTGTAGTCAGCCATTGGTTTCAGCCATTGGTTTAAGAGCATTTGAACATTTTACAACGTAACCAAACAGTAAAAGACCACTAGCTAAGTTATGTTGTTGCATCATGTTAAAACCCGCTGTGATTAAGTGGGTCTTAACCAATAGGTCACAATTAAAATAATATTGGTTAAGAAGGTACAATTTGGGGTCTTATGTAATGTAATGAACATTATATTTTGGAATAAATCAATGACTTTTATTGATTTGGTTTACAGTTTCACAGTGTTTGATGACTTCATAAATCTTGCTTAACCATCGCCATTCTCTGTAAAGGCTCTATAAAATTCATTTTGCAGCCAGTGATTAGCATTTTTTTAACATATTGCTTCATGCAACTTGGTGAAAAACCTCTTTAAATGTTTGGCACAAATATACATATTTGATAGATATACAGTACAAGCAGTGCATTATGGGACATAGAAATTCAACAACAGCCACGCAAAAAACAATCATTCAGACATGTTAGAATTATTTTCTAATCAAAAAGCAAATTGAGAATGGAGCTTCAAATTAAGATTATTGTTTTATTTTTACAATGTACACACACTCCGGAAAGATCCCCAAAAACATACTAACAGCTCTTCTTTTAAATAAATCTTTGCACAAACGAAAACAGACATTTTCAAAAATCTTGGCACAATTTGAGTGTAAGAAGGAAGCACTTAAACTAGTCGTGGTTATAAATGTCCGACATGAAAGGTGATCATCTTGGATAAGCTTAAGGTCGACTGCTATTGCTGATGTCAGAGCTTGGATGGGTCTGGTTGGATAGTTTTCTCCTCTTGTCATGATGCTGATACATGATGGAAGGCTTTCCGTTTTACATCCGTAGCAGCATGGCACTTTCTCTGTCCCTCGGAACTAGCCACAGGCTAGAACTGAGAGGTTTCAGTAAAGGAGATTGCATCTGTCTTATCAACGGTGAAACCTCCGTTGACATAGGATTTCTTCTCACACTCTTCGTCATCCAAAGTGCCTTCCAGAGCGAAGGGGTTGGCGACGTCGACATCCGATGTTAGGTCCATCCTCTCCAGTTCCAGCTTGGATAGTTTCTGGACAATTCCTGCTCCATAAGCATCGCCAAGAACGTTGATCATAGTACGGAACCGGTCCCTGAAATACACCACTCAAAGTCAATCTACAGCACTGTAGCAAAATAAGATAAAAGGTAGACAGATGGACTTACAGCAGCCAATCCACAGCAACTATCAGAGTGACATCACTTGCAGGTAATCCAACAGCGGTTAAGACTATCACCATGGTGACGAGACCAGCATTAGGGACTCCTGCTGCTCCAATACTGGCAACTGTTGCTGTTATACTGCAACACAAAGCACAATCTCATAACACTAATATTCATATTCATATTCCGGAGTTACTGTCAGACCATCCCACTCAATACACGCATTGCACGTAATGACGAGACAGTGGCCTACCTCGCTGGGCAGCCCCACCTACTTCGCCACCAGAGAAGTTGCCAGTTTTGTTGTTAGTAGCTTTTGTTGTACCTTTTGGGACTTTTAGTATCAGCTTGTGTGACGGTGGGCCAGTTATGATACACACATGAGCCAGCTAGGACATCTTAAATAAAGTTAGACTGATTAGAGATTAGATTAGTAAAGCTGGGGTCGAAATTATCTAAGGTTTTCCAAGCCTGAGATAGGTAAATAAATTAGGAGGTAAACTACGCTCCGGGTAGTATTGTTAGAGATTCAAGTAGAATAGCACACCAAGGGGTAGAAATTATAGTAGCAATGTTTATGTTTATAAGTAGAAATGGTTAGTCTAGAATTGTAGTTTGTGTTAGATATTAGTTATTACATTAGCATGTTAGATCAGTGAATGCAATATGAATCAAACACAATTTATAGTCATGTAAATCATATAAACACTGTACGCATTCTGTCAATGTGATGTTAAAACCTGGGGACGGATGCTAATTGCTGTCCCATTTCTCCCAATTTTCTCCCCAAAGAGGGTTTTTTGGGAGTTTTTTCTCCTGTCAGGTAGTAGATAAGCAACTGAATGCAAGACAGCCAGCAAATATCTTGAGTATGGGACTGTGTTAAAGCTTATGATGACGTGTGATGAAGTGTGATCATTTATGATGTGTTGTAACTAAAGTGTACCGTATTTTCTGTGCTTTCAGGATCCGATCAGTGCTGCGAGGTGCGTCCGCTCCCACCGCCCCCCTCGGCATCCACGCCTTAAATCTTCGGCTGCTCATCTCCAGCCACGCCGCCTGCCAAGGGCCCCTTTTAGAATAACTTATTTTCCCAGTTAAGATGGTTCAGCTACTGTAAAGAAAACGGCACCGTCTCTCGCTCTTTAATCTCATGAAGTGCTCGGCGAGAACGACAGCTTTGTTTCTCCGACGCGCCCTGAAACAAGCTCCATATCTCATACGCTTGAGCGCCCGCTCAGCATCTCGCCGTCGTAGACCGAGCTTTGGCATGTTTGGCAGAGCGCCTTGAGCGCTGTGTACAACCAGTATGGATCAACCGATTAACGAATTGATCCATATATAAGGCACTCCGGATTATAAGGCGCCCTGTCGTTTTTTTGAGAAAATTAAAGGCTTTTAAGTGCGCCTTATAGTGCGGAAAATACGGTACTAGTTATAAGATGAAGACAAACTATGCATGCTATGTTATATTCACTCATTAAGGCCATTAGCGAAATGTTTCTACATTGAAAGTATTCGAATGTGAGGGACAGAGAGGTTTCAGGTTACAGCAGCAGATTCACACCTCGATGTGAAGGGGACAGACCAAGAGGACACGCTTGTAGGAGAAGCCAATGACATTCAAATGCACCCAAAAAGACACACCCCAGGAGTTGTCAAAGGACTAAAGCCTAGTTTATGCTTCTGCGTTTTCAGAGCGACGCAGACGCAAGACCCCCTTGCGTGCCTTTTCACACCTCCTTGCGTCCTTGCGTGTGTCGAGCCATTTTGCAAGCGACGCAAGCCTCCCGCAGCTCACCAGGCTGCGATTGGTCTGCTAACTACATCCTTTACGGAGTCTCACATTTCCGTTTTCATAGCCCGATACCGCCAATATTAAAACGAAGAATGTTTACGAGAGAACGGATCAGATTGAAGAATCTTTGTCGGAAGAAATGCGTAAATATGACCGCTTATACAAGCCATCATTGGCGGGTTGTAGAAGCGGGTTGGATTCACGGAGGGAGATCGCCGCAAACGCCGGTTTGCCGGTCGAGAAGTGCACAAAGTTGTGGAGGAAAATACGGGACAAATGTGTCTGCGATGAAAAGCAACAGTGGCGATGCACGCGGCAATAAAGTCTATGATAAATAAATAAATAAATAGACGTGACTCTCTAGGTTGTCTTCGACACGTTACTCCACCTGTTGTTCTGGCGGTGAATTGCTCTGCAACACACGCAAGACTTTTAGAACCATGAATTGAAACGAGTGCGTCGACGCAACCACGCAGACGCAACCACGCAGACGCAGAAGCATGCGTGGGTACCAAGATCGCAACCTCTACAGCCAAACAATCAGGAATCAGGAATCAGGAAACATTTATTGCTAAAATATGTCAAACATACAAGGAATTTGTCTTGGCGGTTGGTGCATGACAGACAGTGTAACAATAGACAACAAGACAGCAGTGCACAAGTAATAAAATAAAGTAAAATGAAATGCTAATGCAGTGGGTTAGTAGAATAAGGCTATGGGTTAGTATAAAACAAGGGAATAAAGTTAAAGTTAAAAATTAAATTAAAAAAGTTATAAAATATTAAGCATAAAGTGCACTAGCGAACAAGTAACAAAGTGACGAGTGACGACAAAGTGATAAATTACAGTTAGTGACATGACATTAAAGTGACATGTGCAGTGTGAAGGGGAGTGACCGGTGGAATGTTATAGTCAGACAGTTGGGGACCGGGCTGTTGATGAGCCCGACTGCCAACGGGAAGAAACTGTTCGTGTGGCGGGAGGTCTTAGTCCTGATGGACCTCAGCCTCCTGCCAGATGGAAGGGGCACAAACAGTTTTTGTACCTGCAATCTAACTATTTTGTGCCCAATGAACAAGGCTATTAATACGGAGAGGTCCGCAGTAAGTAACCACTATATTAAGTTTGCTAAGTAGTGTCAATAAGCTACACAGTGCAAACACACACCTTCCATTAACTAATCAAATGATACCCTATTGGTGTTGGTATCACTTTAAGGGTAGATACTCTTTTGGGTACTGGCATATAATTGTTTACACTTGCACCCATCACCCTGTGTGACTGTGCAACCTCGTTGACACTGTGGAGTCCTTCTGCTTCCTGGTCTCCAATATTACCAGGGCCCAGGGCTGTAGTGGAGGGTAAACGCACGTAAACGGCGTTTACGCACCTCTAGAATTTTGGAAATAGCGTTTACGCACCTATAAATAGCGTTTACGCACCTCAAAATTCCCTGCGCCTTGTATTCTTCCGTTGGAATAATCCGAAATAAACTTGGTGTAATTTTAAAACAGCTAAGACTACGTTTCCTATTGTTAAACATATAAACGACGTAGTCTGAATCATGTCCATCTGCGCTGTATTACGGTCTGTGAGCATCCAATCAGTGCCTTGCGGCTGCAGCAGCGACACCAATCAGGATCCAGGCGGTGGATGGTGTAAACACACGTTGTGGATCAGCCCAGTGGTCCCCAACCTCACGGACCGGTTTCATGTCAGACAATATTTCGCGGACCGGTCGAGAAGGTCCGACGGGGGGGGGGGTGTAGTAGTCGTTGCGGGCGGAACGACCGACGGGGGGGGGGGGGGGGGGTAGTAGTCGCGCGCTCTGTGTCCTGCTGTATAGGCTATTTATGATGACATAGGTAGTACACGAGTGTTCCTTTAACTTATGTTGTCAGTGTAATTGACAGGCTGCTTAACAGGTTAACTCTTAAATTCAACATATTTTTTCAGGCAATGAGGGGACAGGCAATGATGCAGAGAGCACAGGGAGAGGAGAAACACCAGGTCCAATAGAGAGAGAAGCACAGAGGAGCCAGGCAGGACCTGACGTGGAGGACAAGGAGGCCCTCTGGGCACTACTGTAAAAAGGAGACTCCATATGTAGATAGTTCTTAATCTGCAATTGTGTTGTTGTGTTGTGTTGACATACTTTTCTTTACTGTTTTCTTAAATTTAATAAACTACAAACTACTAACACATTTATTCATTGTCATTGATTGTATATGACTTTTACTGATAACATAATGCAATATAGCCAGGACAGCCTAACAGAGTCGCGACGCTTTGTGTTGCGTTGCTTCGCATCGCGTCGAGGTCTGTATGATCACAAAATTCAGAGTTTACCCACCTCGAATTTTACCACTACAGCCCTGCCAGGGCCCTCAAGTTAGATCTGCTTCATCACCAAGAAGGCCCTGCAGAGGATGTGCTTCTTAAGGCAGCTGTTGGTACACTTCTAAACTGCCATTGTTAGGTCCATCCTCTTCTCTATCATAGTTTGGTACACTACATCCACAGGCAAGAACAAGTGAGGACTGCAGCAATAACCTTAACGTTATGGTGTTAAATTTCATCAATGACCACAAAAGTTTCCTAACCTTAACATAATGATGCTTTATTTCCTCAATGACCACAAAGGTTCCCTGACCTTTACATAATATTGATTTATTTCATTAATGACCACAAAGGTTATATAACCTTAACATAATGGTGCTTTATTTCATTAATGACCACAAAGGTTACCTAACCTTAACATAATAATGATTTATTTCATTAATGACCACAAAAGTTATCTAACCTTGTTTTCTGATCATAGAAATAGCATATACATTTTTTTTTTCCAGACCTTGCAAACGCATGGTCTCGTTATCATCATCCTCAATATCATCTGGTGTGGATGATGAAATGTATTAAGTATAGTAGTAAGTGGCTTTATTTCATGTTTGTTTTTACCTGGGCCCTGTTTACCACACATCAGAATTTGTATTCATGGTTATATATTATCCGGACAATGGTTATGTTAGAGTTAGCGAAACATTTCTCTCTTGGTCAACAATAGTTTAATTTTATGGTATCATAAGTTGTATTTATAGTCGTTTATAGCCTGCAGTAAGAAGAGTCCTTTAGTAACTATGATGTACCTGATAGTAACAATCTGGCCCACATCCAGAGCGTAGTCGTTCAGCTGGGCGATGAAGATGGCGGCCACTGCCTCATATAGCGCTGTCCCGTCCATGTTGATGGTGGCACCCACTGGGAGGACAAAACGTGTGATACGCTTGTCAATGCGATTGTTCTCCTCGGCACATCGGAAGGTGACAGGCAGTGTGGCAGAGCTAAAAGACATGTGAGCAGTTGTCACACAATCATTTTGATTCACAGATATGAAAATGGGTTATTTGGTTTTCAACTAATATTGAGGGACACAGTGGATTCTGACCTGGAGGAGATCATGAGTGCTGTCACCAGAGCCTGAGCCATTCCCAATGTGAATGTATACGGGTTCTTCCTCACAATAACAAAGAAGATCAGTGGCAGACAGATGGTGGCGTGGATAGCTAGTCTGAAGGACAAAACAGACATTTTTATTGAACAACATTCTATGTTCTGTTCTATGCAGAAAATGATTATACCATCAAACTTATTTTCTACAGGTTTTTAAGCCAATACCGTATTAAAAAGGTGTTTCCCAGAATTTATATTCATACATGAAATGTACTGGCGCAAGAGATTACAGCCCAATTGGGTATTTGTTGAATGAATAGTTCGACATTTAGTTTCTTTCTTTCTTTTAGAGTAGGTACGTAGCCTGGCTTAGCAAAAAAGTAGAGGATAAACTTGTTGATTCCTTCTAAATCATGAAATGAATGCCTACCAACAGTTGGTGTTTATTCCCAAACTAATTGTCAATTAGTACTCATTACAATTGTTCGTTGAGGTACTGTTTTCATGGCAACTATTCCCCTGCTTACAGTCTTAGTGCTAAACTAGGTTAACTGCGCTTCTGGCCGTAGCTTGGTATCAATCTTATCCCACTCTGAAAATATATATGAAAATAAAGCAGTTTCACAAAAGGTTGAACTATTCTTCCAAAGCATTAAAAATAAATTGGATCAATTTTAGGATAAAAACCTACAGCATTTATCATTTATTTATGCTAAGTCACGCTGAGCATTTCTTTTTATTCAAACCCATTAAAAAATTGCAATAGAATGCTGTTTCACAGAACTAAACCTGTGTTGGGCAAGTTGAACAATGCTCAAGTCTAGTGATTATTAGATACAACTATTTTATTTATAAGCTATAATTTATAAGCTATTTTATTATAACTTATAATGACTGTTCACCTTTGATAAACACACAGGAGATAAAGGTGAGGTGTCCAAGTTGGAAATAATTACATCATTATCATCACTTAACAATTTGACATATGTATGAGGTTGAAATGTAAGTGAAAATTGCAAATTTATGTGTAAATACAATACATTAAAAAAAAATTAAAACATGTATTTATTTATTATCATGAGGAAATAATGCTTCAAAATCTTTTTTCATAGGCTATGAAAGCGTAAGAAACAAAGTGTGACTGTTGCGTGCAGATGGGGGCACTGACAGCTTTGGACCCACCCAATGGGAGAGGATTTACTGTAAAGTCTTTAATGGTGTCACTTAGATTTAGTGGCATGGGGGGAGCTTTCATTACTGCAGCTGCAGGTTGAGCAGTTTTAAATGTCCTTGGCCCTTATCAGAGCCTACACAGTGCTCAGCTTTTACTGTATCACTGTAGGGTGAATCGGCCCAAATGTCAAGCATAAATCCTGGTGTCTGGAATAGGTGGATACAGAGTAATGGCAGCTTACCCACTCAGCACCGTCACCATATAAAGACCCATCTTCTTGAAGATCTCCCAGTCTTCTACCTCGATGATCTTGGCTGCAATTAGGAACAGGATCCCTATTGGCATGTAGCTGAAAAAACACATCAAGTTGGAGTCATTTGGTGTATAGAACATAACATTTGATTCTGGTTGTAGCTTCTCAAACATGAAAACGTGCTGATGTTTAATGATAGTGACATTTAAATTAGTTAATGTATATACATAACAGTATGTACATAATGGAGTATTAACTAAAAGTATCTGTGAAAAAGTATTTATTTTGTTTGACTTCTACATTCTGTTGTTAAGGCAGCATAGAGCGGCCTCCCGCAGAGTTATGAGAAACAGCATCCCTGAAAGGGGGCACCAGGAGTCTTTTATCCTGGGTTCTGACCTTGCTCCATGCCCCTTTTTATGAAAAGAATTATTTACAAATATGACCTGTAAAATAAAGGTATTTTTCTCTATCCAAAGTGTGGTGAGTGTATATTGACGCTCTTGTTTAAATGTTTTTAAGGATTAAGAGGATCATAACCGATATTGTGCTGGAGTTTATTCACTCTTCCTCTCACCTTACACCTACAATAGTTTTTAAAGTTTTTTCTAAAACTCATTGTCCTAGACCATGGAATTTACAGGGTGGTGAAGATTACGAAATGCAATAGCACATCTTTGAAAATGCTAAGACCATGAGATAAGAGTGAGATTTTTTGTGGACCAGGATTCATTCTTAAGTACTGAAATTGTAGAGCACTCTTTCATACCTACCACATAATGATCTGGACCAGTTTCATGGTTGCTTCGTTTAGTGCATCAAAGAATTCCAAGAGGATACGTCCCCTTTCGCCCATCTTTCCAATGACAAGGCCAAAAGCAACACAGAACACGATAAGCCCCAGTACGTTGATTCCATCCGAATACCGTCCCACGATTTTATATTCCTTGGTTATGTTCTGCCAAGAGAGGACACAAGGAGGTTATTCATTCAGCTAACCAAAGAAGGTCAGGAAGCTCACTCTAAAGAGCCATTGATGAGCTATGCCAATGTTCTCAACAGGATCACAGCCCAGTGACCCGTGGTTACTTTACTTCGGATGTATTAAGAATAGATCTGGGGTTACCGGGTGCAGACACATAACCTGTAAAGTGACGTATCCACAAGGACACACATACAAAGATCAAAATCCCAACAGTTCTCCCAAAGGTTTCTTCCTTATTTCTCCCCACTGAAGGTTTTTTCATTTTTGGTGGAGTTTTTCCTGTGCCTGATGTGAAGGTTTTAGGACAGAGGATGTTGCATGTGTATAGACTGTAAAGCCCTCAGAGGTCATTTGTAAATCTCGATTTTGGGCTATGCAAAACAAACATTTTAATGGTTGTTTTTCCACCAGAAGACATGTGTGACCTATTGCGCAAGGTAGTGACTGCTCTAGGCACACCTACCTTTACCACCGACAGGAGAGTAGTGGCGAGAGGTGGAATTGTGGTGGTGTTGGATGAAACTTTTGCAGGCTCCAGCTCTTGGCGTATGGTCTTGTACTAGAGTATGAACAAATTTCCCAATTAGTGAAACAGTAAGTTAATCTAACATGGTACTTGTATTGACCATATCGTAATGAAGGTTTAAAAAATGAACATGGTTTGAAAGTGGAACAGAGATGAATGATAGATGCATGGCTGCATGCATCTATCATTCATCGTGCATGGCTTCTTACCTGCTGAAAACAAGCCTGCACCAGATTTTCGGGAAACATGTTTCTGTTGAAAAACCAAGATTGGTGGTTAATGACAGGCACTGACTAATGTTGGTATTACACATCTCTGACAGATGGATTATTGCAACTACATTACAGGTCATTTAGCTGATACGTTTTATCCAAAGCAACTTACACTGCATTTTTAACCCATGGCTTTTTACATTTTTGCCCAGGGAGCAATTAGGGGTTAGGGGTCTTGCTCAGGGACACTTCAACATGGGGCGTGGGCAGCGGGGGCTCAAAGCACTAACCTTGCAGTTCCCGGCGCACCCTCTCTACCCCTGCGCCATGTCGACCCAACTACTATCAAGCAAGGGAGCCACAACTTTAGCCACAACTTTAAAAAGTAGGATTTTGTCAACACTGCGATTGGCTGGCGTACCCCGTCTCTCGCCCGAAGTTGGCTGGGATAGATTTCACCCCCCCTGTGTGCAGGATAAGTGGTTTGACAATGGATGGATGGATGGATGGATTTGGTCAACAGAATATTGTATTGGGAATTTGATTTTTATGAAATGCTTTATGAAGTTGAAGTTAACCCTCAGAGCTCTTGGATGAGCTCCCAACAGCTAACAACCCCTTCCTGAAAGCCGACTAAACTGTAACTTTATGTGTTGAACTAACTTCAGTTGACAAGTTCCATTGATGACAATAGTTGCCGTAACTTTTTGAGTTCTCATAATCTTTTCAAGTTGGTGTAAGCTTTTAAGGACCCTACTTCCTGGAACAGACAATCCCCGGAACATGAACACTTTTAAGTGTGTAATTTTCTCATCCAGTTCATTGCATTGAGTCATCAAAGACATGTACGATACAAAGAGAAGGGAATACCCTGCCTTCAACTGTGTATATTCAGAGTTGACCACATCAAAAAGGTTTATACTTATAGGAGGTCACCTGAGGAGGTCCAAGAGTGTGTCAACTGTTGTGATGTTGGGCGTTGTACCGGCTCTGTCAATGTGTTCCGCTGTCTGAGAGACTCCTGGTTTGATAGTCATCACCAAAATAATACCTGGAAATGATAACAACGTAACTCATTCAGATGTCACACCAACCACCTTTTTTACACAACAGTCTTTATGGGACTCAACTGTAAACCAGCGTAGGTGCTTCTGACAACTAGACAGGTGAAGAAAATAATCAACTCACCAAGAATAACTGCAATGATGGTTGTTGAAAAGTAATAAATAACAGCTCGTAGACCTATCTTTCCTGATACCTCAGAGTCCAGGGCTGCAACACCTGAGAAGAAAAAAGCACAATATTGAATAGAATTCCAATCCAGAAGATTATTCTCCTAAGCTTGCGGATCACACACCCTCATTGGACTCATCTCTGTTGGGGATGAGTCTGCCTACAGGTGGTAGATTCAACACCTGGTGCGGGCTGAACAACTTCAACGCACCAGAGCTCAACGCACTAAATACAGAGGACTAAATACAGATGGTGGTGGGTTCCAGGAAGAACGTAGGTCCACCTGCCCTCCATGACCTAAGCGGGCATTCATGTTGTAGACATGTAAAAAGAACAGAGTGCAAACAACTGAAACTTCCGAGGGCTAAACATGTAGGAGAACTACAGTGGCCAATGTGAAAACCCAAATGGTTCTTTCTATTGCCAGTGTTGGGTTGTCCATAAGGGGCTACTGAGGAAACATGGCAGACTTGCTCTGTGTCTAATGAAAAACACAGGTATTTTTGTTTTAATTTTCAATCATTAGATGGGATGAGCAAACTTTGTCCCATAAATGTTAAAGACTGAATTAGCTCATCCCTGATGAGGTTGAAATGAACCGTGAAAAAGGATTATAAGGATGACAAGCCTTTATTTAATAGCCGGCAGTAGAGAAAATTTTAGTGGAAAAACTCCTAAATGAGGAATTCAAAGATATTTCCAAAGACTCTTAACTCTATGAATGAGCTACTCTCTCACAACGGTAATCACGTTATATTTATTTTTGTTTTTTTAAGCACATCAATATCTGCGGTACATCATTACAACAAATAGTACGAACAAAAGTAATTATGTTCCTGTTACCTGTTATCATGCTTGAAATGATGAGTGGGAGGATGACAAGCTTCAGCATTCTCATGAGGATCTCTCCTGGGAAGCCGAAGTACTGCTTGTGAAGGTGGGAGAGGGAAGCATACTCTCTCACCAAAACGCCTAAACTAATCCCTGACCAGGACAAAGACAAAATCACATCATAAAGAATTATTGTCCTCAACTGAAGAAAAGGGTCGAGTCCTTAGCTGGAGTTAGTTTTTTTTCTAAGTTAAACACTGTGGCAGAATTTGTAAAATATTGGCCAACAGACAGATCAAAGGGCAGAACATTTTGCTGTTATTTAAGAACACACCATCCCATGATTGTGTAATCACACAAATGGCATTGATCAAAAAGTAAAATACCTTAATAATTTGCCTAATAATAACTTGACACACACAGATTTAAATAGGTTTCCCACCTGTGTTAGGAAAGCACAGTTAGGTTGTAATTAATGGGATAAATAATTGGAAAGTTAGCCGTTCTGTTGATACCAGGTAAACCAACAAAGATGTCACAGCTATCAGGAAGAGAAAAGAAAAACCCACAACCAGCTTTGGCTAAAACACAGGCTTGTCTGCAAAAAAAGTGGTGGGACTATTTGAAGATGAACAATATTAATGAACTTGAACGAAAATAGGCTGCGCGGTAAAGCAACCAGAAAGAGCAATTACTGCACCAACACCACAAAACGGCCTGCTCAAAATATGCTGAACAGCAACCAAAACATTTGAGGTGATGATCCCTAAATTAAACTCAGTCATCCCAACCAAGAACACTAGCTTGGGCAGGAGTCAACAAGTCTCATGAAGAAGTCCACCATCCCAACTGTGAAGGATAGGTGGATCCCTTTTTTATTTGGTAGGGGTTTAGAGGGTGCAGGGAATTAGTTTAAATTCATGGCAAGATAAATGAAGCATGTTATTAGAAAATATTGGAGGAGAATTTCCCGTTGCACTCACCCCAATAGTGATGTGTTTCGAGAGGATTATCATGACCCACACACCCCCCCTCCACACCACTGACCACTAACAGCCCCACTACACACACATACACACACACACATAGACATACACATACTGATCTGTGACTGACCGCTGCTGTGACTTCATGTCACCAATTCTTGTGCAATATTGGCAAATACGCATGGTGCGTATGTCAGACGCATGCTCATATTTATACATTGTGCTATTTAGTGTATATATATATTTAGCTATATGTAGCTTTGCGGAAAGAGGGCATAGTGAAATAAGAGCTCACATGAAGCTCAAAAGAACTCATTATTCATCTTGTTTTGTCTTCATTAATACGTTGTGTATAATGATTGTGCTACTGTGAAGTCTCATAGTTTAACAGGAACCCGCTCCAAATAAAATAAATGTGTTTTGCCTGGTGGTGCAAATCTTACAAAATCTGCATGGTTTGTAAAATTGTGAGCCCAACAGATGGGACAGCCAAGCACATGCAACATTGAACTTGGTATAATGTTGCGCTTAAATTAAGGCTGATCATTCTCTGCATTGGCAACTGTCACATTATTGCACATCAAAGGTGAATCCTGAAGTAAATCATGATGCAAAACAAACTTTCAGCTATAACCTTCACATTTATCCCACTAGGTGATTTTGAAATCCACTCCTAACCTCCGTCTGTGCTATGGTGTGCTGTGTTAAAGATGCCTAACATGATGTAAAACACTGCAATGACGCGGCAAACTGTACACCGGCACCTGGACCACTGTGAGCCATCTAACCATCATACAACCTTGAGCAAACCTTATTGTGTGACAGCCAATAAAAAATGCTGAAATTGACATATATGTCAAAACTCTTCCTGCTGTTCTCATGCAGTTTGCTGTGCTCTAGACTCTTCATCATTTGACGGGCTGTGTTTGAAGTGCCAACAATCTCCCGACATTTAGCCAGGAAGTTTTTAAAACCACTGTCATTAAGAGCACCAGTGAACATCCTGTGCAGACTGTGTGCCGTGCTGTTGAGATGAAAGTAGCCAAGCAGCTACCAACATTTTCCCGGCACTAGCAATTCTAAAGTGGTCCATTTACCACTCATCCCCCTTCTGTTTGACAACAAACTTCCAAAGCAAAAAGCTCTCTCCATCTTCAACTACCATCTCTGCCTCTTTTTTAACTGACTGCAGGCACGCAGCGGTTTTGTGTCAGTGGTCAATGGACACCGGAGATAAACAAGTCGCTAACTGCGTTAAAATATTTTAGCGCATTAATCTCGGCAATAATCTCATAGGTTAACTTTGACAGCTCTAATTATTTTATTAGGCCAGAGAGCCTTTGAAGTCAACTGTCATATTGTTTCTCTAGATGGCATTGCTCTGGTATCTAGCAGTCCCCGAAATAACCTTAGATCTATCTTCAATCACGATGTGTCCTTTAACTCTCAGATAAAACAAACTTTAAGGACTGCCTTACTTCACCTATGTAATATATACAACATCAGGCAGTTTATATCTCAAAGTGAGTGAAATATTAGTTCAGGGTTTAGTACTTCTAGACCAGATTACTGCTCTATCTATCTAATCTATATTATCAGCTAAATCTCTTCGCTTTTCCAGTTGATTCAGAACGTGCTGCAGCACATGTATTTACAAGAACTAAAAAAGGGGATCATATTACTCCTGTATTAGCTTCTCTACACTGGCTCCGTGTTGAATCAAGAATAGAATATAAGGTACTTCTCCTCACCTACAAGGCAGTTGCTGGTCAGGAACCGTCTTATCTTAAGGAGCTTATAATACCATATTACTATAGAGCTGCACTGCATAAATGGTGGGTTACTTGATGTTCCTAGAGTCTTAAAAAGTCGAGATCCAGATCCTTTAGTTATCAAGCTCCTCTTTTGTGGAATCAGGCTTCACTTTTAGTTGGGGGTCAGAAACAGTCACCTCTTTTAAGACAAGGCTTAAGATTGTTGTGGCTGTAGTTAGGGCTGGCTCAGGTCAGCCGGACCAGCCCTTAGATAACCTGCCGTAGGCCAAAACTGCCATGGGACTTCTTAGGATAGAAGCTCCTTTCTTGTCATCTCTCTCTCCTTTTATACAAAATCCCGTCTTATTAATGCACATCACCAATTCAGCTTCTTCCACGGAGTCTTTGTGCTTTCTCTCACATTTTTCCATGGACATGGTTCTTTCTGGACCCGCGCTATCACTCCTCACAGGGTTCTGTGGATGGTGGTTCTGTCTGAATGGCGGTTGTTCTTGCTGTGGTCCTGTTAGACATCTACTGATACTGTTATTATTATTTGTAATCCCATTACTAATGCTGACCCTTGTTTCAGCATTAGTAATGGGTAATTGTGTTTCCTTTGTAATTATAAATCAATATATGGCTTACTACCTTTAATATTTTGATCGTTTCTGTCATATGCATTGAACGGAGTGCAGCTTTTACGTTCATTTTGTACACATGCCATCTTGCACTAGTTCCATCCCGGGATAAAAATCTCCCTCTATTGTTCTCCCACAGCTTTTTCTTTTTGATGGAGTTTTCCCTGTGCCAATGTGAGGATTTCGGGTACGGAGGATGTTGCATGTACATGTGTCACAGTGTGGTTTATTTCCTGTCTTATTTTGTAGTTGCTGCTTGTCTCCCTGGGTAACTTCACTTCCTGCCTTGTCCTGTCATCCCCTGTGGTTGTCTGATTGTTTCCACCTGTGTCAAATCACCTGCACCTCCCTAGTGTATTTAAGCCATGTGTGTCTCTGGTCACTTGTTGCGTCATTGTCGAATGTCCTGGATGTTTCTAGTTTATTTTTGCCCTGGTTCCTGTGTGCGTTTTTGCCCCTTGGCCTTTGCTTTTGGTATTTTGACTATTAAAGTCTTTTTTTTGGTTTAAAGTCTGCGTTTGAGTCCTGCCTTCCCCGCATCCCTGACAACATGTGGTGAAGCCCTCTGAGGCTAATTTGTGATTTTGAATTGAGTGAATGAATGTGAATTTGGATTTTGCATTGATTTATATTGAAGTTTTAGCTGCAGGTTTTATCTTCAGGTCTGGACCTTGTTGCTCACAGTGTGTTCTTTTAAAATTCACTCCACGATGTTACAACTGTACCAGAAAGAATGTAATTTCCGCCGAGCATAACTGTGATGCTTTAAAACCTATTCAGTAAACTGATTTCAAAATAATTATAGTGATTCAGTCGTATAAGGTTCTAGAACTAGCGCATTGCATGTACCTTCAATGCAGACTGTTCACCCAGAGAAGTAACAATTTTCTTTTTAAAGTAATAAAACCTTTTCAATAAATGAGAACATCTCAGGACAACAGACGACAATGCCCCTCAATATCACCACTGCCCTACACCTGCAGACCAAGAAAACGTCTTTAAAAACGCAACATAACTGATAAGTAAACAAAGAACATTAAAGAATCACAAAATATCTGATCCTCTCCAGACTCAGGTGACAACTCAACCAAATCTTACTTGCTGTGTCAAAATTATAAAAGAGAATGCATTAAAATGTTTCTGCCTGAGATGCAATAAGTTCTGTCTTTGGATGTGAGGTACAGTAGGTAGTCTACCTTTCTTACTGTACTGTTTATAATCGTGTCTCTTGATATTTTGATTAACATTATCCTAGAACATCAACAAACCAAAGACCTGTCAAAAGCATTAACTAACAAACAAATCTTTTTTATAGTACAATTAGAGGCAAGCGAAAAATATCCATCAATCTGTATCAAAAGATCTGTATGGTAGAAGGAAGGTACAGTGATCAACAATGTGTCAAAAGTCATAGTCATAGTATGTGACCCCCCTCCAAGTTAAGTAAAATCACTCAATACATTAACAGGTTGCAGAAAAAGGCACATTTTACATTTTTAAAAGAGAACCAAAAATATACATGCACAGGGAGATACAAACTTGAATACGTCATAGAACTATTTTTGCTTTAATCTAGATATAAGACTAGCACTGCTAAATACCAGAAACTCCGAAACCAAGAAATCCCTGATCTTGTAAAAAAGCATAACTTGTGACATTAGGCTATCTTTGGACAGAATATAAAAGTTAAGTCATTTTTGAGAATGACATGAAATGAGATCAATTGCATTTAAAGAGATACAACAATGGAATCAGAGTATGGTTAGCGTAGCTTAGCAAAAAAGCCGAGAGCAGGGGAGGCTTATTGTACATTAGAATGTTGTTCAAAAGTGAACAACATGCTAATGTGCCGACATAGCTTAGCTAGACTATCCTGTTAAAACATACCTTATTATTAGTGAGGTTTGATGGAAGTGAAGGTAAAGTAGTCATGACGTGTTTTACGTGCTTCGGACTCTGTTTAAGGAAAGTTTTTAATGCTACATTATTTATCAACCGCCAGTCATACTGTGACTGAAGAGGCTAGTCTATGTGCTCTGATTAATGTGACGTGCAGTGAATGCACCAGGCATCATTTTGTAATAATGAAAAGTCTACTATTGTACTATTTTAGTAAAGCAAAAACGTAAGTGACTGGAAAACCAGCTGTAAAGTGGCCTGTTTAATTTATAATTAAATGGCTGTGGATTGGCATGACAGGTTTCCAAGTTCCCTCTCAGAAATAAAACAAATAACACCCCGCAATGTAAAGATGTTAAGTAATGCAGATCTTCAGATTGCATTGAGTCACATGCATCTGTCTGTAAGATACGCAGCTCATCTAACTGCCTCAGTGATGGGTCTCCTCACAGACCCAACATCAGCAGTCCCTTCAGTCTGGTCACGTTTGACTAAGACACGTCCAGACAGGCAGAGACTGTGTCTCCTGCAACACCTCACCACACGCCCATCCACCATTCGTTAATGAAATCGTATTATGAATTACCATGATCCTTTACATATTTAGTATTCAGTGCTGCTGGTTAGTCCACTGGTGCAAGAGAGGTTGATTTATATACAGGGTGACTGAATCTGAAAGCAAATCTGGAGGATAAAACAAAGAGGAATGAGGAAGATAAATAACGATGATCATTCTCTGTGCAAACACGATGAGGCATTCAAGGGCTTCCACGTACCGAGCAGCACAGCTACAATCGTGGCAATCAGCAGCCAGTTCCTCTTCAACAAGCCTTTGAAATTCATTCCTCGTCGCTCTTTGTTACTCATCATGTCCGCGGTTTTGTTATTTCTCCAAACAAACAAAAAGGAGTCTGAGAAACGCCAAATGGAGACGCAACAGACTCGTGCGGGTTTGGATGTCGGGTGGGAGACGCCGCAGAGCAGGATGGAGGAGGCGCGATGCTGCGCAGCAGAGGATGCAGCCGTCAGACGCTGCTGCTGGCCAGCGGTGGTGTGAGGCGGTGTGTGCATGCGTGGGGAGGAGTGAGCGAGACAGTCTCCTTCTCCCTCTGCCACCCTTCCCCCACACAATGTGTATCTGACATTTTCTCCTTTCCACGAGGGACAGTTTGTATTGTAAGAAGAATTATGAAATATATATCAAACTTACCCATTTGGAAACAAATGTTATAGGATGACTCCAAAATGTACAATCTAGTCTGACCTTAACCTGAAGCAGCTCCAAGATTAAACCATATTAACGTTTCATCTCAGTCTGGATCAAATGTTGGGTGTTAGATAACGGTGTGAATCCTGAAGCTTTACCCTGACAGAATATAAAACCTTGACTTTTTTACCTGAGACAAAATTATTCATTCCTATCTGATCTATGTATATATATATGAATTTCATATAATAAATATTAAAAGATAAATATATAATATCAATATATTTATGTAAAATCTAATAGAAGAACATTTATATATTTATATATATATATACATATACGTAGATCCTCCTATGCCGTTCTCTCCACGTCAAAGGTTTTTTTGGGAGCGTTCTTCCTGGTCCAATGTGAAAGTTTTGGGACGGAGGATGTGTACAGATTGTACAGTCCTACAAAATTAGAAATGTGTCACTTTGGAGCATTCTAAATATATTTATTTGACTGGAATTGAATCCCCTTAAGGCAAATTTGTGATATTGGCTTATGTATAAATCCATGCACTCTTTTTTGTGTTTTTTTCTAAAGTGAGATATGACTTCCCACCTGTCTCATCTTCGCTTACATCCAGTGTTTTAACCTTTCCCCTTGCTGCAGTGCAGGACAGGCGGGCTCCAGTACATATGTCCCAATCCAGCGATCGCTTCCTCCAGAGACTGCTCATCATTTGTTCGATTGCGTCACCGTGGCTGTCCTAAATTATAATATACAAGAAGAATATTATGATTTCTGGCTGCATTTCATACGTTTTTAGAATTATAAGGCATTTACTGTCAAGTGAAGCAGGTTGCTAAGCACCTGAGCGGCAGAGGACAAGTTGCTGACGCAAGCAGAAAGTCCCACGTACCGTCTCATTTCAGAGACTCCTTTTAGTTGATTAAATGTTTAAAAAAATGTTAAATGTCAAATATTACTCTGCAGTGAAATATTTAATATTTCTTGAAGAAAATCAGTAAATAACACTTTGACAATCTTATTTTTGTCACCCTCATAGGCAATTCAGTATAATGTAAAATATATATCAAATGTGATGAAGGTGCTGGAGAGGCTGGTCTTGGCCCGCCTCAGGCCGCAGGTGAAATCTTCACTTGACCCGCTGCAGTTTGCATACCAGCCTCATGTGGGAGTGGATGACGGCATCATCTACCTGCTGCAACGAGCCCAGTCGCACCTGGATGGAAAGGGTGGCTCTGTGAGAATAACTTTCTTTGATTTCTCCAGTGCCTTCAACACCATCCAACCACTGCTGCTGAGTGAGAAGCTGCGGGTGGTGGGGGTGGACTCGTCCACCGTCTCCTGGATCACTGACTACCTGACAGGCAGGCCACAGTTTGTCCGACTGGGCAGCGTGCTGTCTGATACAGTGGTCAGTGGTACTGGAGCTCCACAGGGAACTGTTCTGTCTCCCTTCCTGTTCACCTTATATACCACTGACTTTCAGTATAACTCGGAGTCCAGCCATCTGCAGAAATTCTCTGATGACTCTGCAGTGGTAGGGTGTATAAGGGATGGACGGGAGGAGGAGTACAGGGCAATAGTGGAGGACTTTGTTGTGTGGGCGGGCAGAAATCACCTGCTCCTAAATGTGGCCAAGACCAGAGAGATGGTGGTCGACTTCGGGAGGAAGACGACGGCTCCGCTACCGCTGAGGGTTCTGGGAGAGGAGGTGGCCATGGTCGAGGACTACAAGTACCTGGGTGTCTCCATCGACAACAGACTGAACTGGAAGACCAACATCAACGCCGTCTACAGGAAGGGGATGAGTCGACTCTTTTTCCTGAAGAAGCTTCGATCCTTCCATGTGTGCAGCAAGATGTTGGAGCTGTTCTATCAGTCTGTTGTGGCCAGTGCTTTGTACTTCGCTGTGGTCTGCTGGGGGAGCAGCATTGGAGCCGGTGACACCAACAGACTTAACAAACTTGTTAGAAGGCTGGCTCCATCATTGGCTGCAAACAGGACAGCTTGGAAAAAGTGTTGGAGGGGAGGTCACTGTAGAAACTGTTATCCATATTGGATAATCCTGACCACCCCCTCCACCACCTGCTACAGGGACAGCGGAGCACGTTCTCCAACAGACTCCTTCAGCTCTGCTGTCACAAGGACCGATACAGGAGGTCATTCCTGCCCAGTGCAGTAACACTTTACAATAAATCCTCCCAGGCTAAATAATGACAATAACAACTCTGTACTGCTGTGATGTTGCTGCTCTTCCTCTTCTCCTTTTACAAATTAGTATTATTGTCTCTTTTGGAAGGTTATTCTTTTGTTTCAGTTTTAGTTTCTTTAACTTAATTTAATTTAATAATTTAATATTTCTATCTTATTATATTGTATATAATGTGTATCTTTTTATTATATTTTCTTCCCTGTACATGCTGCTGTGATAGCAAAATTTCCCTCTTGAGGGATCAATAAAGTATCTATCTATAATAATCAATGATGATATAATACTGTCAGTTATCTCCTCTGCATGAATGGCAATAAAATCTGTGCCCTTTACTTCCTCCAGCCTTGACGAGAACACGCACACTTGGGGCGAAACCAATGTTGCCCCTGGCTGAGTCTAATTAAGGATGCTGATTGGTTACATTATATGTCCCAAGTTGTTCATTTAATAAGCAATTGGCTAAAGTCTTTCTTGGGATAGCCCCTACACGCATGAAGACAGGGCATGGAACGTGCAGGAAAAGCATGTTTTATTGACAATTCTTAGGATTTTATATTATCTTCTCTATCTTTTCTTGGGCTCAAGGAGGTGCGATCTGATCTCTGGTGGGGATGAGTCCGCCTTTGGGTGGGAGTCTGACCATCTGGTGTCGTGGTGCACCCAGAACAACCTGGAGCTCAATGCTCTAAAGACAGTGGAGATGGTTGTGGATTTCAGGAAGAACCTTCCCCACCTTCCCCCATCACCGTAGGAGACTCCCCCGTCACCACTGTGTATTCCTACCGATTCCTGGGCTCCATCATGATCCAGGACCTCAAGTGGGAGCAGAACATCAGCTCCATCACCAAGAAGGCTCAGCAGAGGCTGTTCTTCCTGAGGCAGCTGAAGAAATTCAACCTGCCAAAGACGATGATGGTGCACTTCTACACGGCCATGATCGAGTCCATCCTCTGCTCCTCCATCACGTCTGGTACGCTGCAGCCACAGCCAAGGACAAGGGCAGGCTGCAGCGTGTCATCCGCTCTGCAGAGAGTGTGATCGGCTGCAATTTCGCTTCCAGGACCCTAAATCGAGCTAGAAAGATTGTAGCCGACCCCTCTCACCCCGGACAAAAACTTCCATCTGGCAGGAGGCTGAGGTCCATCAGGAGTAAGACCTACCACCACACGAACAGCTTCCCTGGTCCTTCATTTTTTAAAACTTTTAAAACTTTTATTTCTTTATTAAACTAACCCATAGCCTTATATTACTAACCTATAGCATTATATTTTATTAAAAACCTTTTGCACTATGTTGTTTTGTTGTCCATTGTCGTACTGTCTGCTGTCATGCACCAACCGCCAAGTCAAATTCCTTGTATGTCTGACATATTATGGTAATAAATGGTTCCTGATTCCAGGTGGGGAGACGCCCATTGGCCTGTATTGGCCAGCCGCTAGTTGTTAGGAGGTGCTACACAGTTCATGAACAAAATAAAAATACAAACTACTACAACTAGAACTTCCACCAACCTGGCATAAGGGGAATATCCAAAACAGAAGTTTCCCAGGATTTCGCCTTTTTTTTGTTTTTTTGCCAGGGTAATTTTCGGAATCATTGGTTTGCAGAGGTGTCAAAAGTATTGACATTCATTACTCAAGTAGAAGTACAGATAGGGTTTAAAAATACTCCTGTAGAAGTTGAAGTACCAACTCAAGCTTTTTACTAAGTAAAAGTATTAAAGTACTGGTTTCAAAACTACTTAAAGTATAAAAGTAAAAGTAATGTAAGAAATTCCATTAAGGACAAACTCTTAATGCGTAACCTCGCTCACACAACACGTGAGTCCGTTACAATGTGATCAGAAGGTGCCTGCAGATCACGTGACCTGCCGTTGGGATGGTGGAAACAACAACAACAAATGTATCTGACTTAAACAGATAAAACCACAACCCATTTTCCAGTAGTCACACACACGTTGTTCGCATGGATTAGGTAGACTGCAGTGTCTCCCCCAGGTTTACTACGTCATGGGGGGGGTGTCGCACCCCTGTTTATAATAATGGGAAAGGCTGAACTGGCAGCGGTCGGTTATCAAAACATTCGCCAAATAACCAGTATTTTCAGGCTTCATGAGCAAATACAGAATCCTTTTGTGTTCATTTCTCAAGGCGAATTAAGAAGACACACATCACTTTATTTAACACGCTAAAGGGTCCATGTCGCTAAATACCAACTTTCCACCGACCACTTTTCCCACCCGGTGTCGCTCCGATCTGCCGGCGCATCGCGGAGAAAGTCAATCGGGTGTCTGGATGCTAAATGTTAATACTTCTCATCCAACCACAATCAAATTCACTGTCCGGATAGCGCCATTTATCTGGACAGGTTTTTTTTGGTGTTTGTGTTTTTGAACTACGACAAGCCGGAAGTAACTAGGCTGTTTTTAAAATGTAAGGAGTAGAAAGTACAGATATTTGCGTGAAAATGTAAGGGTTTAAATACTGGATTAAATACTCCAGTAAAGTATAGATACCCCAAATTTCTACTTAAGTGCAGTAACGAAGTATTTGTACTTCGTAACGAAGTATTTGTACTTCGTTACTTGACACATCTGTTGGTTTGGTTAGCCTGCGTTTCCTGATAAGTCTCAGCCTGCCATCTACCGGTGATGTTCCTTCCACATGACTTCAAATCATTTTATTTTGAAGGCTCTAACCGGAAAGCGTGCTCTGAATCCTCGGCGTTAGCATGTCAGACAGAGCCAGTCGTCCAAGGGAGCGCCAGGCAGTAGGTCTTGACTGTTTGTGCAAATGTGAGAGGAAGTCAGATGCGTTAACGTGGTAGTCACCCGGTGTACAAACCACTGTACAGCTCCCTCCAGTGCGACTTCCCGACCGGCTTAGTGGTTGCTGTTGCTATTTAACTGGCTAACTAGCTAGCTAACCGTAACCCGATAAATCTGCCAGTCTCCATTGCGGGGAAAGTGGGGCCTCCGGTTACGACTTGTTTTACATCTGCCCTGGAGAGCTTAACATATCGTGTTATATTCCGAAGCAACATCCTGTTGAGATGGGTGAGTAGACCGCTAGCAACCAGCGCACTCTGAGCCGAGTTAGCTAACAAGAACGGCTCTTACCACTTAACCTAACAGTTAACGTTTACTGGTTATTTACGCACTTAAGCAGCCATGGATGGTAGATTGTTCACGTATACTCACTGTTTATTAATGCATCTATACCCCTTTGATTCCATTGAACCGCATAGCTCTATGATTTATAACTCTTAGTTAGTCAAATGAAAGCTGACTGTAGCTAAATCATGTATTCGTGCGCGTGCGCGCTTCAGTCCTCGGGTGGGGTAGCTTCCCCGACTCCCTCCGTGCACCATCCGCTCTCAGTGGTCGTGATTGTTTTCCATTTAGCAACGCTAGTCCTGAAAATATGATGCGTTGCCTCTGCCTGGTCTGGATTCAGCGGGCATTGGAGATGGCGTGAAGGACCCAGGTGGCCAATGAAGCTGCATCCCGTGAAATGGCAGAGCCGTTGATGAAGCAGCTCACTCCTCCATCTCCACAGCTGTTATGCAATAGGAACCAGCAGTTTTTACTCCACTGCTTTCTAAGATGTAACTGCTTATACTGCTTATTGGTCATACACCCTTATTAGTGATGTTTTTGTAGTGTAGTAGCCATATACCTGAATGGAATTGAATAGAATTTGACTTAAAAAACATGGTGTGTATCTTGATATTACCTCCCCATCACATTTAAAAACCTGTTCCCGGATACTGCATCCCTGGGTGTTACACAGAGCATTATTGGTTTCACAGTGCATACAGTGCTTCTGATATTTCATAAAGTCTAATCCCAGGCTGGATCACTCGTGTTGTCACTTGATATCAGGCATCTATTATGGAGGGTGGATGTGTGGGTTGTGCAGTGCACAAGCAACCGACAGAAACAAACAGGTCACTGCAACAGGATCTGCAATCCTTATGCAACTTCTCATTACCTGGTTTGTTGGCAAAGTGCCGGGACAGCAGTTCCCTCTGTTAATACACTTCTTAGCATTACAGACAATGAAAGTCAGTCGTATTCTCTTTTGACGGTCAATAAAAAAGGGTGCCTCTCGAGTAAGTAGAGTGCCTTCTGGACTAAACCTCACAGGTCAGTCACATTTTGCTCAGAATGTAGTTCGGAGTGTAGGCATCCAAAATGTGTGTTATAGACCCATGAATAAGCATTACTCTAGTTCAGCGGTTCCCAAACTCAAGAATGCTGCGGCCCAATTTGAAATCTGAAAATCTTTTGCGGCCCACCCAAACATATAATCACAACTCTGATCAAAACATGAACTAGAGATGATTAAATTACCTTAATAATTTAACCAATTAAAAATGTATTAACCGACAATGTATGTTTTGTAAACCATTTTCTCCGGAGCTCATATATATTTACTTTTAGTACTACAAGAGGGCTCCCCTTTTGATATTGTTTTGTTGAATGACGACAGGCGGACGACATTGGGACATGTTCAGTAACATGTTCATTGGGGCGACTGTGGGTGAGTGGGGAGCACGGTCGTCCTCCAATCAGAGGGTTGTCGGTTCGATCCCAGGCCCGGCTAACCCGCATGTCGATGTGTCCTTGGGCAAGACACTTAACCCAACATTGCTCCTGTAGCTGCGACTACAGTGTGTGAATGTTAGTTAATGATGGCAGGTGTCACTGTGTATGGTTCTCCTGCCATCAGTGTATGAATGGGTGTGAATGGGTGAATGTCATGTAGTGTTAAAGCGCTTTGAGTGGTCGGAAGACTAGAAAAGCGCTATACAAGTACAGTCCATTTACCATTAGCAAGTGACTCTGTTACAGTGAGGTGGTTCCGCACTAAGCACTCAGCTGGGATTTTGTGTGCAGGGACGTTTTAGTCTGTGAGGTCCTGGATCCCAGTTTTTACTGGATTTCCTTTGGAGAATCTCGGTCCAAAAAAATACTTTTAAGGGATGCAGGTTATTAACTTTGGTTCAATCAACTCCGCTGTCTGGAAGACATTTGAAATGAATTGATTAAGATTTCATTACCTTTCTCCTTTTTTATGTCCCCGCCAGTTAGTCATTGTGAGCGCTGCAGCGGTCTTAGACCTGCCCCCAAATGCTCTCATTGGTTGTGATGCGTGATGTTCCCCCTCCGTAGCCAATACTGATCAACACCCCCCCTCCTGTGACCCAGGGTTTGTCTGTGTATTTAGAGCCAGTGAGCAACAGACTTCAAAAATAATAATTTCTAAAAACTGCATTAGTTTACGATAAAATGGTTGTTGCCTTTTATTAAATAAACAGGTTAGTTAAACGCCCAGGCCTTGTTTTAACTAGTTACTAGTTGCTATGCAGCTATACAAGGAGGTTGGTGTTGGAGGACCCATATGGAAGTTGGGAGTTTGTTGGTATATGAGGTCAGAGTTATAAAGGAATCTCAAACTTGACTCCTCGCTGTATGGGGAGCGTGTGCTTTTGAATAACTGGGGTGATGTGATCTCTGGTGCAGTGGTGTTCTGGATTTATTTGAGTTTGATGATTCTGGTGGATTTGCCGTAGAGGATGTGTAGCCGTAGTCCAGTGTGGAGAGGAGATGAAGGCGGGGTGAGTGCTTCCTTTAGGGGGTTGCTTTTGCTTTCCATGTTCCAGCAGCAGTTTCACAAATACATTCAGCACCTGCGGTAACTGCTACGTCACATAAATCCCAGTTTGAATCAGACTGTAGGGGCAGATGGGGTGGCCGGTAATTTCGAGAGACTGCAATACAATATGTCCAACATACACACATCAACACAGTATGGCCCCGGCCTCGCCCCTTCTAAAGAAAGCACTTTAAAGCTCATGGTGATGTCATGAAAAACTCCCATTTTTGCTGGTTGAACCATGAGAATTAACCATTTAGAATTGTTTCTACTGATGTCATGTTCAAGGTGCAAGGATAATTTATTGTTGTTATTTATCACATGGTGTGTTGTTTTGAACATTTGGGGTGTTAACATGTTCTAATAGCAACCATGAATGAGGATGATTGGTCCTCTTTAAAAAATGTGTTCCATTAAGGATTGAACATGTTATGCATCTTCCGAAATAGCAAACGGTCGTGAAAACGTATTCGACTCTTCCCTGCTCAGTCAGAGCTATTTTTTCATATGCATAGTCTCTAACAGCAGGCTATTCAACCTACAGAACTTAGAGGCCTGGACATAAACAAGTTTGAACTTCATATTGCATATGAAGCCTGCTCATGAAAACAATCTTTGCTTAGATATAGGCTCATAAGAAAGATGCTTGAAAACAACAATGTAACACTGCGACAAGAGAATAGAATTTAAACCTAAATAGTATCTACATTTCTGCCTACTTGCTCTCGTTGAGGAAAAGTACTGGAATATTCCACTAATGGACCATTAGTTTGTCGCATAGGTGATGGATTTTTCCCAGAGAGGGGGAGACAAAACAGCACTTGGGGAGGAGGCTGATTATTCACTCGTCGATTAGTCGTTATAATCCCTGCTCCTCCTGTTAGATGTTTCAGAGAACAAACAAGTGAGCGGCCAGTAGTTTCAGGCATAAGTAAATGTGTGAACAGCAGCTACGCTGTGAGTGACCTGCAGCGATCTCTCAAGGCTGTCTGTCTCCCAGACTTTTCACTACACGTCTCTGTTTTCAGACAACCTGAGTGGCGCCCTGGAGAAGCTGAAGCTTGTGTCCACAGACAGCGCCACTGACAACGTGGAGAGCTGTCTGGACTGCATGCTGAAAGCACTCGCCAACAACAGTAAGTAGATCCAGTTTGACACCTGCTGTGTTCTGAGGCCACATGCACACTACTATGTTTCCTTTTTAAAACATTTACACTGATCGTCCACACTACAAAAAGGAGTTTAGAAACGCTTTGTAATGTGGACAGAAGTACAACAACCTTGATTTGTAAGTCTTCATTTTGAAGTGAAGTGTGTGTGTGTGTGTGTGTGTGTGTGTCACCCACCCTCCCCCCAATATAATGGTAGGGGACACACTGCACCTCATACGATGATGGAACCTTAAATTCTCTTTATTTCTCCTGCAGACACTGAGGCCAGTCTGAAGATCCAAGAGATGGGCATTCTCCCCCTTCTCCCCGCCTTGCTACGCCCCCAGTCCTCCTGCACCCCTAAAGTAGCCAACATCATAGCTGAGCTGGCCAAAAATGGTGAGGTTTGTTTTTCAAAACCATTCAACCGGGAACATCTTTACTTTTTGTTCCACCATTCCTCTCATCCTTTCTGTATTTCATCATACATACATTACTGGTGGGGACTGTATGTCTCTACAGTCATGGATATTATAGAATATTTACATGGATTCACTTTTATGTTTCATTGACATGCTATTCCCTAGCTAAACTTTCCCCGACTGAGGTTATTGTGTAAGGACTCAAATGTCCAAGTGCTTTAGTTAACCATCGTACCTCTGACAACAGGAGAAGCTTTTAAAGTGAGATGACGCCGACGCAAATAGAACTGGAGAAAAAGTTAGGATAATTGATGTCTTTTTAGCAGCTAATGATTAGGCTGTTTCCCAGCAGTTTTACTAAGCTTGTCAACCTCATACAGAAATTCATTTGTCACAACATCCGGAAATGACTGCAAGCAGGCCAAGTGACTGAGGGCTAAAGACAACTCCCTCTGTGCCTGACCGTCTGAGAGACATGATAGCTCAAAGCTACACTATGCATAGATTGAATGTAAAATATGAATTAGCACAATGCAGAGAAGTCACATGATGCACATCCACATGAACAGGATCTTCCAAATAAATATATATGATCAGTGCGGCTACGTGCTGCTGCAGCAAAAACTATTTTACACTTATTTAAAATATCTTTACTCTTTTACATTGCCTTCAGACGGCCTTTCTGATGGGGAGCTGAAACAGTTTTCTACGCTTTCTTCCACAGCACTATGTTGCTTCTCTCCTGTGCTGGTCATTTCTGTTTCTCCAAACCCGATCTACTGTTGTACGACACTGACTATGGAGCGGTGGCAGCTACACAAACACTTCAAAACATCCAAACTCTCCCTTAAAATGTTAGATTTTCTTCATCCCAACCTGACTTACACACCAGTTATGTCTTGAGGATACACAAAGTAGTTATTGAGCACATTTGGAGCTGTTTTTTTGTCTTTGTCACTCATACACAGATAATGATTGTCAGGGACAATGTATTAATGTATTAATTATTCATTACATTTAAACTTGTCTTTGTTCAAGCCACTGCATATTTTGATCATGTGATCGCTCCATTTACTACAGATACTCTGAAGTTCAAGCAGTACAAGTTCCCCGTTGAGCACGTTTAATTCTGAGCTGTCCCCCAACGCCTCTCCCTCTCTCAGAGTTCATGCGGAGTCCCTGTGTGGAAGCCGGCCTCATCCCTCCTCTAGCTCAGCTGTTAAACTCCAGCAACCAGGAGGTTCTGCTGCAGACCGGCCGAGCACTTGGCAACATCTGTTATGACAGCCGTAAGTAGCAGTCTGCTTCGCACAGGGAGCACAGAATCCTTAATTAGCCTCGTAGTCACCAACACACAGAAAAGGGGTCACACATCTGATTGAACTTCTGAAAGCGTTGATGTTTATACGTTTGTTTCAGCCACACAGACCTTTAACAGGGGGAGGTCTTTGCATTCAGCCTCGTGTACTAACACTGCTGCTCTGCTGTCGGGTTTGCTTTGAACACTTGAATTGTATGAAAGTAAGTAGAAAAACAATAATAATGACAACGACTGAAAACATCTGGTATGATTTATCAGTTAATAGGAAATCTTAAAAACATTTTTTATGAATCACCCTAAACCTTGTTTAACATTTAGTGAATCACCTTTGTTTGAATCTTAACCAGATGTTCTTACCATAGTTATGTTTTGAAAGAAATATGTAAGGTTAAGTAGTACCTATACTTTTAAATAACAAACCCACTTTATATGCATTGTAAAGTGTTCATTACTTGACATTACACATTTCTAAGAGTACAAATATAACGTCCTAGTACTGCCGTTTGCAACTAAAAGCGAAGATACATTTACTTATTGTATTTTTGAAGTGAAGGGATCCAGAAAGGGTTTATGAAAAATAGTTTTGAGATTTTCGCTTAAAAATAACCATGTTGATATTTGTTTAGTGATGAGAAAACTGCCAAACTAAAGTATTACAGCACATATGACAATAATACTAGTATGTGTTTTGAAAGTTCTACATATGGCACCTTCTGAGATTTCTGCTGTAGGAGTATTTGAGTTTTGACCTGAATGAGGGGTAGCCAACTGGAAGCCTGATTATACATCACACTTTAGAGGCTTTAATCACAGCTGTCAGTCGGGCTGCATGGTTTGTCCTCTTACTCAAAAGCCTGCAATCTGTGGAATCCAGGCGGATGCAACATTTGTTTGAGTGTAGGTGGCGGGGGGGCTGCATAGTTTTATCAAAGATGCACTGAGAGTGTGTGGAGATACAGCTGCTACTTTAAAGCACACTTTCATTTGGAGAACAGAAAAATGTTTAAAAAATCAGTTGCAGTTTAACAACAAGGAGTTTGACTGCTGCTTCTGTCTATATAATAATCACTGCATACATACATACATATACAATACTGAGGTGACATGATTGTCACCACATGCAAGTTGAGTCAAAAGTCAAAGGAATTGCAATACGTCACAATTTTTTTTAACATTGAATGAACTCACAAAAGGGCACGTTACATATAAGGTAATGAATAAAGTTTCCTGCAAATATTAAATTAGCACATTAAAACATGTCTTTGTATTGATGGAGTAAAACTGCATATATGCTTATATCTCAAATTAATAACTATCTTCATCCGGTATATTCAGACAAGCATCTTAAGTATGGCCTTGTCCACCCCAGGGACATCTTTCAATGTGAATGAGTGGTGGCTCTCCCACAGGCCTCTTCCAGATGTTGGTGCCTGCCATCACAGCCTCCCCACTGCCTCCACCAATCTCCTTCCTACTATGTATTTGTAGCCTGGATATGATCCCACCTGTTGGACATTACCTCATAGAAGACAGTGTTAATTTTGTTTGTCCACATTGAAAGGGATGGGAGAATTTATGTGGTTGTCTGGTTTTCTCTTTTAGTAACTTGTCAGAGGCAACCCCATGAGCATGAAGGCAAACCTAGAGCTTTGCCTTCATGCTCCGGTCGCTTTTCACAACCTGCCCCAGTGCTGCAGGGATTAGTCTGTTGATCTCACGGTCCGTTTGACCCTCACTCATGGACAGGACCCCAGTATACTTCAACTATACTCTGAGCATCAACTTGTTCCTAAGCTGGACTTTTTTCTCGCAGGGTATTCAATGTGTCGTCTTACTTTCTCACTGTCCCTTCATAAAATGGTCTCAATCGGTGAACTCATGACAACCCTGGGTTCCTTGCTAGAGTAAAGTAGGCTGCAAAAGTAAAACATGAAGCCTTTTGCGGAAGTGGCCTTTATTCTTTCTAATCTTTTCTTCATCATGTTGTTTGTTGTGTACACGTGGCATCTTTTGCACTACTCTTCATCTAAGGAGAGGAATCCCTCTCCAGTTAGTCTTCCTAAGGTTTCTTCCCTTTTGTGTTTTTTTTGGGAACATTTTCCATATCTGATGGGAGGGTCCAAGGAAACAGGATGGTTTTGTCATATCCAATTATTTGCCTCATTTATTATTATTTAATTGGACATTAGAAAATAAAATTAATTGACTCTAGATCAAGTTTGTGAAGAAATATGACTACTTCTCTCTTTATGTATCCCCTAAGTAAACGTTGTAAACATGAGTATAGTCTCAATCTCTAGTGTTGATTTAGTAAATTATTGTCCATTTAGAGTCGGATAGACCATAAAGCAAAGAATGCTTTAGGGTGGGGCTACCTTATGATTGACTCTACCACAACAATGGCCAGTCTAGGAGTTTTCTGTACACCTCATGAAAATATAATCTAGCCTTTTTTGTTACTCAAAAGCTTGGCAATGACCCAAATGACAAACTCCTTTTCTAAAACAAAAATGGGTAACATCGTGGTGACTACATACATTTCTTACATACAGTCTACAAAGTAAAGAAGGGATCTCTAAGGGATTTCTTCCTCCATGACTAGGAAGAATTCCCAGACAGCACCCTGGCATAGACTTTGTTAGAGCAACATAATCAACTCTGGCCAAAGGTTTCACAATACCAATGCATTAATGCAATTACCTGACGCAATAATCTAATAAATGCTTGTTATAGGAACTACTATCCAAACTATATGATTATTTACTATTATTATCATATATATATATATATCTGTGTATGTAAGTAAATATAATAATCCCACTAAAAGTATTACATGTATTAGGTTGCTATTCTTAGCACACTAGCTGTAGTTGTGATGTTCTCTTGTGTCTAAATGAAGCTAAGAAACAGTGGACTTCTATAATTTTGCATTTTGAATTGTTTTCTTTTTATTCTTGGGAGCATACAATAATAATCAGTAAACTGCTTTGTAATGCCACAAATATTTTGAATGTATTAGTTTGCCTTAATTTTTATACTTCGTACAACTCACTTCACATTGCTTTCACATGTATATTTTCAGGTTGTGGTTATTTTCTTCAATTTTTTCATTTTCTATGTGCTTGATTTGTGTCCTGGCCTCTTTGTTTTGCAGATGAGGGCAGGAGTGCAGTTGACCTGGCAGGAGGGGCTCAGATAGTAGCTGAACACATTAAATCCCTCTCCCAAAATACTGAGCCGGAAAATGAGAAGCTCTTGACTGTCTTTTGTGGCATGCTGATGAACTATAGCAATGATAATGGTAATGACCATCTTCCCCAAGAACAACTGTTAACTAATCTCAACTAATCAGCGGATGTTCTCTTTCTTATACACAGGCAATGTCGCCTCATTTATTTGTCTTAAGAACGTATGGTTGCACTGAACATGCCGTGCTTTGCTGTTTTTGGACTGATCCCTCTCTTGATCTTTTTCTACCATGTTGTCTGTTGCTTTTCCAACTCCATCTCTTGGGTAATCTGAAGTTATTCATCTTTGTCGTAGTAGCAGTACCTTTTCTCCCTTTGTAAACATTCATTAGTTAGTCCAGGTCTAGCACCACAAGCAGACAAATACCTGTCTGTCAATGTTTTACAGACATTTCTGGTGATTTTTAGAGGATGCATTATAATTAGTGGTGACACGCAAACTTTGGTCTAGCTTCATCAGCAGGCTAATTCAAGTTTGTCAATTGTTTTTTTTTTTTTTACAGACATTCGTAGTTACCAGATTATGTATCCCATCAACTTGCCGTATAGCTCCACCATAGGGTTGATTTTGTTGTGGTCTTAATTATAATTTTGCTATATAAAGCTATTGCCATGTGTGTTCTGCAAATTAGCAAATGTTGTCATGCTGACACGCAAACTTGGGTGGCGACCATGGCAAACATCCATTGAAAATCAACATGTTAGCGTTGTCCCTGCAAAGATGACCCTAGCGTTTAGCTCAAAGCCCTGCTGGGCCCAATTACATTAGCCACTTGTAGGGCTTATGTCTATTAGTCTGTTCGAATTGTGTGCAGTTAAAAGAAATCAGGAGCCGTATGTTAGTCAGAGAGCTTTCAAAATGGTGGTCGGGGATTTTTTAAACTTTGGACAAAGTCAGGCTAGCAGTTTACCCCCTTGCGTCTATTCATGTACTTGGCACACAATGCAACATTGACAAACTCGCGCTTTTTAAAGAAACCAAGTAAAGTTATTTACAAAAATGCTGACTCTCTCGTTAAAGTATCAAAAGTATCAAAGTATTTTTTTGTTTGTTGATTAAACGCATTCGTTCTTTGACGCCGAAATGGACCACCAGCCAACTTGTTCACCACTTGCTGGCCAACTCGCTCTCAAGTGGCCAGCTGTTAACTGTTGTGGCTGCTAGTGTTGCCACCAGAGGCTTAATAAACTTTGGAATAAATAATTTTCTTACGTCGTATTGTTGAAATTTGAAACCGGTGTACTGCCCAGTCCTGCTCTCAGACAACATGTATAAAATGTTTTCGAAACATCTAAATTCTATTTAGCTTAGTAAAGATTTGCAAAATAAAATAGGAGTATATAGAAGTAACTTCACCCATATTTGATGTATCATGCTTAGAACGATTTTCGATCCTTCTAGCCTTCTATTTACCTAGAATGCTATCTCTACCATAGGTCTCTTTCTTCATTGATGATCTGCATTACTTTCTCTGGGATTACCGTAATATTTATTATAACTTTACCTGAGAAAGGTGAATTTCCCTTTCACTGTATCCGTGCCTATATCTTTGTGGATTATGCTTACAGTTTGTGTCTTTGTGACAACATGGCTTGTTGACAAGAGCCCGTCTAGGATCTGATGGATCACACCGCCTGCCAAGTGTCTTGGCATTAGTTGGATCTATGCAGGGTTTTGGGATCCGCTAACACAATGAATGGAAGTTTGTCTTGCTTTCTGCAGCTTTCAGCATCTTTTTATAATCAAACATTGTGTGCCACGGCTGCCTAAGTGGTCGCTGTAAGCACTTTTAGCGCTGTTCGCTTTGAGCTGCTAGCTCAGCAATCACGATTTTGAAAACCATATTTATGCTTTGAATTCTAAATGTAATACTTTAGACTTAAGCATAATCTTGCGAGGCAGGACATTTGTCAGTGCTCACTGGTAACTTAGTAATGAGAAGACTGTTTCTATTTTTCTTCTGTAATGTTATTACCCAACGGCAGACATGTATGTCCATACGTTTTTTTTATTAATCCAAAGTCAACCTGTTTTACGATGGCTTCAGGGTCACACAAGTGCTCTTTTGTACTGGCAGAGTGCTCATGCTTCCTGCCCGCAATACATATTCAATCTCTTAAGGCTCTGCAAACAGGAAACCGTTGTATTCATGAGATCCAATACACTACAGCATGAGGATTATAATCAAATATAAATGTGCCCCTCTTATGATTGCTGTTCAAAAAACACATCTGTTTAAGTTGTTTGTAACTTCTTTCTTCTACATTTATGCAATTCTGAGCAATTTATGTCTTTCTGTTATTTTCACACTAGCAAAGTCATCTGGGGGGCCAAGCTGGACCCACCTGGCTGTATGTTTGACATCCCTGTTCTAGAGGCTTTAACTGGATATGTTTCATCTGTCATCTGGTCTGCTCAGCTTGCCATTCTTTTGTCTTCCTTCGCCATTCATTTTCCCTGGTTGTTCACTTACACTATAGACTTTCCTTTTGCTTTCCAGGCACGTTTAATCTACCACTTTTGCCATTCTGTCCACTTTCTGTGGTGTAAACTACTGTTTAATGCAGATTTCACATTCAAACTCTTGTTATATAGTCTTCATATTTCATGTAAGGAGCCTTGAGACCAAACCCCTTGCGGGACAACATAGTGTGTCCTTTCTTAACTTAATATAGCAGCCAAGAACTATTACGTATGTAAGTAAAGATACAAGGGAATTGGTTTCCATCTGGGTGTGTTGTAATTCAGGCTTCTCTGGCCTTTTTCATCTTTGTTTGTAGCTGGTCGCTCTGCACCGGTTACCTCTAGTTTCACTCTAGGTTCACCCTGTTGGCTCTCTCAGCACTGCTGACTGCTATCTGCCAGCTGTCGCCATGTTGAGGCATTTCCTGAATCATAGATATGTTTGAATTTGTACATTAGCCCCAATTAGGTAGGAATGGCTTTTTGTTGAATCAATAACACAATCAGTTCCCATTTTTAATCTGTTATGCCACCATTCACTCTTACTTACCCTTTGTAGCATTATAAACTTTTCCACATAAGAGGAATGACTTTAGACAGTTATGAGATAGGAGTCAATGGCGTCTTAAGGCTTTAGCAGCAAACCATCTTTTGAGATCAGATTTATACAAAAACTTACTGTTTGGTAAAGTAAAGTAAAACGGCTTTCAAGCAAAAATCAAATGTCTGACGGTTTTCTCCATGTCATGTTTGGAACAACACATGTCTTTCTGTATCTACTTTTTTTTTTTTTTTTTTTTTTTTTTTACAGATTCCTTACAGGCTCAGCTGATCAATATGGGTGTGATTCCCACTCTGGTGAAGCTGCTAGGCATCCATTCTGACAACACAGCCTTGACAGAAATGTGTCTTATTGCCTTTGGGAATTTGGCTGAACTTGGTGAGTAATTCTAAGCACCAATGGTTAACACACCTAGCAACCATTCTAAAATGTGTATATAAATATATGTATACACTGAGGTCCTCATGAACGTACATTAGCAAAGTTAGCGTTATCAGCGCCACGGCCAACCCGCAAAAAGCACATGCTGTGATACTTAAAAATCGTATTTACAAAACTGGCAGTCTCCACTGTACCGCACATTGGGAGCATTTAAACGTGGAAGTGAATTGAGCTGCTGGATTGGAATGTTAAAACTGAGTCGGAGATGCATTGTCATGATTTCTCCCTTGTCGCTGTCTGGCTCGGATTACTGCAGTCATTTCACCAGGAGGCATATGCGAGGAAACCCGCATTCTTGTTTACACCTGCTTTAAAGAGGCTGAGAATTTTCACCGCAAAACGGAGGTGCGGTTTCACAGGCAGTTTCTGTACATACCGCGGAATACATAATTCGCCGCACTATACACATCCTCTTCTCTCGTTATGGGAAATTTCCCCTTACCCGTGAATGCATATGCATGACATGGAAACGCGCAATTTGCCATTTTCAATTTCCGTTTTAGAATTGTTACAGTCAGGGCAAACGAGTAGTAGTGATAACCAATGGGAACAACAGCGCTGCATGCCATAAGCGCAAAACGATATGAAGAAAACAACGAGCCCCTCATCTGTCAGAACATGTGAACCGTCACAAGCATGCCACACATTCTTGATCTTTACCTTACTGGATGACTTGCACTGCATCTGCATTAGTCAAGCTTTAGAGGTTACAGAGTGAAATGTCCTTGTCTCATATCATTGTGTTTTTTAGTCTCTCACACACACACACACACACACTGCAGGGTGAGACTCGCATCACGGCACAGAGTAGAAACAGGTTTCCTGCAGTAGATGCTGAGGACTCTGGTTGTATCAAACACAATCAAAGAGAGGAACCAGCAGCAGACCACATGTGACCAACAAGCACAACATCAGTGTGCACTAATGATACATTTTCTACTGGTGGGGGAGCAGCAGGTAACCTTAGTGATGATAGACCCAGTTTGATCATGCGAAAGACAATCAATCAACTAATGGTGAGCCGACAATCTATTCCAATGTAGATGTTTTGTTATAGTTTTTTTCAAGAAAGACTATTTGTTGGTATACAAGAATATTAAATTCATTAATTAATTGCTTTCCCTTCAGAGTCCAGCAAAGAGCAGTTTGCATCTACCAATATTGCTGAGGAGCTGGTGCGTCTTTTCCAGAAGCAGTCCGAGCACGAGAAGAAGGAAATGGTTTTTGAGGTTCTGGCTCCACTTGCAGAAAATGGTAGTTTTTTAAAATGTATTTGATCTCTTTTAAATGATCATTTTTGGATTCCACAGAATGCCATATACTGTAATTTGAGATGGTGACAGACTGCAGTGGTCTCTCATCTCTTCCTTCTCGCTTTGTGAATAGTCATCTTCCTGTGATGCGTGCTCTGCAGACCAGCAGCTATCTCCTCAGTCTTGGCAGACAGCTCCTGCATTTCCCCATCTTTCTCAGATGCGCGCATGCTTTATGTGCAGACATGAAAAGGACAGCAAGGTTATACAAGGTGTCTCCTTGTATAAAACAGTAACTTGGCTATCAATTAATCTAATCTTTTTTTTTTAAATAAACAGTTTATTTCATGAAAACTTAAAATTATGGAAATATTTCTGAGCCACATGAGATTTCTTCTCTTTTCTTCAGACAAACATTCCAGAGCTCCATATACACTTTGATAGTTAAGTTATATAACATGGTTGTAATGTTTTGGATATAGTATTCCTGTATTAAAAATAATACTTTTTTTAAATAAAAGTAGTGCAGTACCATATTTTTCTGAGAGATGAAGTGGGTTAGAAGTATGAAATACTATGAAATGGTAATAGTCAACCAAACCACTACACCTAAACCCCTAGAGGAGATTTACTACAGGTGTATTTCCCTCCAACTATTTTCCATGTGCTTATAAAGACCGCTAGATGGAAACAATTATAGAAAACACTAAAGAAACATTGCTAGAAAGAGTAATGACAACACAACACACAGACCAATAGACCTAAATATCTAATCAAATATTTGTCACATTTTCCAAATGCGGGGTACCCCCTAATATAACGGAAGGGGAAAAACTGCACAGGTCCCAGATTGAAACATGAAAAAAGATTAGGTTCAAACTACTTAGATATGATGCACCACAGCATTATGTCACATACCACTCACTGACATCTGCTCTACCTGTCTCCTCCTGCTTCCCTCTGCCAGATGTGATAAAGCTCCAGCTGGTGGAGGCAGGTCTGGTGGAGTGTCTCCTGGAGGTGGTGGCCCAGACTGTAGATGGAGAGAGGGAGGAGGACGTCGCCCAGCTCAAGACTGCCTCGGACCTCATGGTTCTCTTGCTGCTGGGGGGTAAACACCACCGGGAAACTTGCTTAGGTTGACGTGTTCTGTCATAACGTACAGTGAAATGTATTTTCAGCAACATATTTTAGTGTGGTGTGTATGGTTCATAAATATTTGAATTCAGTTCCACAGCATACTTTATTCATAGGCAGCCACAGTCAAATGTCCTCTTCATCTGCACTTTAAGAGAACCTTGTATAAGTCATTAATCATGCATACTTAGGACTCTTAGATTATTGTAGCAGGATGGATTCAAGGTCATCATCATCATCCCCTCAGTGACTCATTTTATGGACAGAACCTATACAAAATAGATTCACAGTCTTCTGACCATCACGATCTTAAGTATTAATAATTTAACCTTTTGTTTAAATGTTTTACTGCAGTGGATCAGACCTGAACATGCTGTGATCTAAATATCCTTACTGGAATGACACAGATCAGACAACAACATATCACATGTTCAACTGATGCTGGAAGTCTGTCCCCGTTGCTCCTATACAGAAAGTGGATGTAGTGTGCAGTTTGTAACCGGTTTGGTGGATTTAGTTGGCAAGAGGCAAATATTCGTGGCCATTTGAGTAAGACAACATGCTATAAAAAAGTTCATTTTATTCTGAATAGCCCAATATCACAATTTACAAATTAGACTCAGAAGGCTTTATAGTCTGCAACATCCCTAGTCCCGAAACCCTCACATCAGCACAGAAGAAAATTACATTATGTTATGTACTCCCTTTCCCAGTGTCAATGAAGCCTTTGTTGCCTTTATAACCCAGAATGGCCAAACGTTTCCTGAGAGGCTTCGTCTCATAGAAAACGGAAAGTGGCATGTTGCCTAGCAGCATACCCTAACCTGTCTTCCCTCTGTTGGCTAGATGAGTCCATGCAGAAGCTGTTTGAGGGAGGAAAGGGCAGTGTCTTCCAGAGAGTCTTGTCCTGGATTCCGTCTCATAACCACCAGCTGCAGCTTGCTGGCGCTCTGGCTATTGCCAATTTTGCTCGCAACGGTAAGTCTGACGCAGCATTTTAGGAGATGAGGGGAGAATTACAGACCAAAGATTTCATCAACCCTATTTGTCGAAAGGGAAATAGCTGTAGCGTAGAATAAAGACAAATAGTATATATGTATATATACTATAGTATTTAAAGTGGTCTTTATCTCATTAGTATTGTGTTGTTACAAAATGGTCAATAATGACAAAGCCACATTCAGGGTGTGTAAATGAAAAAAAGTGACAGTAATTCAACTGAGACCAAGCACTGCTCAGGGTCTGACTCAACATCAAGGTATACACTCCTTTGACTTTATATAGATGGAAATTGCATCCACATGGTGGACACTGGCATCGTGCAAAAGCTTCTGGAGTTGTTGGACCGGCATGTTGAAGAAGGCAACGTCACCGTTCAGCATGCAGCACTTAGCGCCCTGCGGAACCTGGCCATTCCCGGTGAGGAGCCTACGCACGAACACACACACACACCACACACCACACACACACAACACACGGGACCTATTTCTGGAGGCATTCAAAGGGCCACTTTGAGTGAGTGAGGTATTTTTACTAAGTCTAATTGAAACGGTTATGGATACATTCTCTCTTCATGGCACTAGAGTCTTGAGTGTCCGTATGTCTGCTAGCTTCTATACTGCCAGATGTCATTTTGTCTTGCCCACCCCATATTTATCAAGGTCACTGTAAATAAAGTTGACCAAATTACAGCAGCACCTCTCTGTGTAACACAATACGCTTGGACAGCAGTAACTGCAGTTTCCAAAGGGATTCACAGTCAAATCAAACCAGCACCTATCCAGATCCATTATTGTCCATTGTTGAGTCAATGTTGAAATGTATAGATATAAAGGGCCATTTCTAACGGGTGTTCGTTTCAGGGGATTATGCCCTAATCACCCTCCTCAGGTAAACACTGACTTTATCATTAGCTGTTTGTGCTGCTACCTTTGTTGGAACCCTTAGCGATGAGCCGCCGACTTCTGTGTTGCCAACTACATGTTGCTGCGACGTAGTGTACAACCACATGAGGGCTCTGAAGTCTGAACCAAAATGAAAAACTTGATTTCTCTTTTCAACCTTGACAAAGGCAGCGCTGACAAGATCCATTCATTCCATTCGTACCTTTCATAATAAAAGCCCTAGATGTATCTGTTCACCTGATTGAATCTAAATTCACACAGAGCCTAAAGGAAAGTCAATAAACTAGTTCACAGCAGCTAAGGCTAAACAACCTTTCACTTCCAACAGACTGCCCTCTGCTCTGGTTCAATAGGGTCCTGGTAGGTTGTGTATCGTGTCCCTGTTATAAGAATGCTCAGTCTTAACACTGATGTCACATTGCCACTCACCTTCTTAAAGAAAGCAACTTGATCATCATTTGTAGTTGTGAAAACATTTGTTTTGGTCTATCATGGTTCCAGAGAGCACCTGACATGGCTACATCATGTTGAGTTAAATTCAACATGATGGTTGTTTTTTATCACAGCTTTAAATCAGCTCCCATAAACGGCTGCCAAGACTATTGATTATTTAAAAACATACTGTATGTTTTGTTTTCCCTTAAGATGAAGCATCCAATAAATTTGCTGAATTCAAAGAATATTTTATATCAGAGAAGAATGCTTAATTTTGTGCTTTATGTCCGTTGTTTGCTCTCCAGTGGTAAATAAGTCCAAGATGCTGTCAGCTGGAGTAGCCGACGTGGTGTTGAAGTTTTTGCAATCTGAGATGCCTCCAGTCCAGTTTAAGCTGCTTGGGACGTTACGCATGCTCATCGATACACAAGGTAGAGATTTAATCACTTTTATCTTTTTCCTTGTTTCAAGCAAATCAGGTGTCGTCTGTTCTTTTTAAGCTTTGTCGTGTCAAAGGATTCTTTTCAGCCTTGAATCTGATTCATAACGACAGACCAATATGCCCACTGATGCTCAACTTGACACTGCACTATGGTTTTTCATGAAGAAAGTAATGGTTCAGTCATTAAATCCCAAACTCCAACTGCCATTTGAGCTTTTTTTGAAAAAAATGACCAAATTAAATGCATTTCAGTATGTTTGGGTACAAATAATGAGAAATAAAAATGTGCACACCCGACTAAATGTCAGTAATCTTGTGTGTGTTATGTTTCAGCTGAAGCCGCAAACCAGCTGGGAACCAATGGGAAGCTAGTGGAGAAGCTAGTGGAGTGGTGTGAGGCCAAAGATCACGCCGGGGTGATGGGCGAGTCCAACAGGCTCCTGTCGGCCCTCATTCGACACAGCAAGTCCAAGGTCTGAAACATAAAGCTTTTAGGCCCTGGTGCTCCTCATGTAGATGTAATTCAATATAATTTTCAACATAACTAGGAAATATCAAATAAAAGTAGATCATTTCAATAAGTAAATCTCTGCAACCACAAGGTATTTTTGAATTATTTTTGTGATATGTGTTCAGGTGTGTAAATATTAATGTGTGTCTCACTGGTTACGACTAAAATAAAAATGGCACACGGCAGAAATAAAAAACGCACTTTCAGGATGTTTACGACTTTGGAATGATTCATTTGAAGCTTTAAATATCTCCCAAATCATAGCTCCATACATGGACATTCTTTCTGACTGAAAGTCTGACTTGAAGAAGTTTTTAGTATTGACAGTTCAGACAAGGTCTCCAAAATGGCCGTGGGATGACTCTGCAGCGTTATAGGAATGATGACATTTGGTAATTCATTTAGTTGTGTTTGGAGCCTGTAAAAATGGCTTACATCAACTTATAGCCCAGGTCCTTCTGTTTAATCTGATGTGACTTCAACTATAACTTTGTAATCAGTGCAAGCCTTCACTTTGGGTTTTTGTCTAACAATTAGATCTAGCCAACATCATTACGGTAACAAGCTAACATAAGCTATACATTCATGAAAAGAGTATTCATTAGAAGGATGTGTGGAAATAAAGCTTCAATTCAAATTGTGCTGGACTCTGACCATTAGATCAGAGAGATTTGCATTTTATGATTCATCAAATTCTGATAAACATATATGATTTATAAAATATCCTTTACGCCAGTTTATCAGTCTGTTTTCTGCCAAATTCACTCTCGAAAAAAATCAGACTGATGGCACCTGTCAAACTACTTGCTGTCGGTGACCAATCGATGGCATTGTAGTGCAGTGTTTCCCAGGGGTTTACAGCCTTGGGGGGGCTTTAACAAATGATGGTGTCAAGAACCTCCTGGTGCTCAATGCAAAGGTTATTATTCATCCTGAAAGCACATTACAGTGATTTGTTTTTTTCTTTGTAGGAAGTCGTCAGAACTGTCATCCAGGGAGGTGGAGTTAAGCACTTGGTTACCATGGCAACCAGTGAGCATATGATTATGCAGAACGAAGCACTGGTGGCTTTAGGTCTCATTGCAGCGCTGGATTTGGGTAAGCGTGAGAATGAATTATTCTGAAAACTTGTCATGTCAAAACTTCATGTCAGTTTGAACAAGTCTGAATTCTTTGTCTTCTCTCAGTTTTGTCTAATGAGCCAAGTGCCTCTGTGAATTTCCTACTTTCTGCTTTCCAGTGGCAGCAGAGAATGACTTTGTCGGAGCCAGCCTGGTGTCGGTGCTTCACAAGCTGCTGTCAGATGAGAGGAGTGCACCAGAGATCAAGTACAACTCCATGATCCTCATCTGTGCAGTCATGGGCTCAGGTGAGGCTCTAAATGCTTTAATACAAATCTTTCTTATTGAAATGAACCCTAGGAACAAAAAATAATAATGCTTCTAACTGGTTGCATGTATTTATTACATATATAAATATATAAGTTGTGACGGTGCATATTTACACTAAATTGTCAAACATTGATGGGAGAGATGGTCTTCTATTCTAGACTGACTTTCATTCCTAAATGTTCCTTCTTCGGAAGTAGATTATTGAATCACGCTTTGGTAAGAAGCCTCCTATCTTTTCACCTGTTCCTTTTTTAATTGGCTGTAAATACAAACTGGACCCCTGTTATACTATGACTATTATATACTATTGATACCTTCTGCAACTCTAATTCACACAGTACAGTCATAGGCCATAATAGTTTGGAAATAGTGTTTTCATTCACTAGTTCTATTATTTCCTATTTAGCCATTTGTAGATTCACTTCACTTTCATCTTTAAGACAAAAGCCAACCTAAAACAAATATATTATGCCCTTCAAACAAAGGGAAGAATATATTTGTCTTAGCTTGGCTTTGTATATGAGTCTGCCGTTGATGGCTTAGCACAAACCAGATAATTGCCACAAAGTGTAAGCTTGAAGCTGACAGCCTAGTGCATGATATCACTCTATAATGTTGTACTTCACTACCAGCTTGTATTAAAAGCTTTCTCCTCTCTCTTTAGAACCCCTTCACAAAGAGGTCCAGAGCTTGGCCTTCATTGACGTGGTGTCCAAGCTAAGGGCCCACGAAAACAAAACGGTCTCCCACCAGGCGTCCCTCACAGAGCAGCGATTAACTGCCCAGAGCTAAATGACTGTCCCACCCGGCCCACAGGCCGTCCACCCAAACCGCCTGCCTGACCCATCTTATCACCAGTGACCCCTCATGACTGCCCTTCCCTCTGTGCCCCACCGTCATGTGCCAAGGTACCATGTCGCATTAGCTGCCAGCCAAGACCTGGTCATGTCTCTGTCCCCGGCCCCTCCTCCAGGATTAGACTGATGTGGATCTATTATATAAACATTTTCTACTGTAATTTTGTTTTGAATTACAACAGTTCACATAGAGTTGGAAAGCCTCTGAAACGGTTTTTAGACTGGTGTGGGACACCATCACTCTCCCCTGAGAGCCATAATAATGAGCTCCTTAACAAAGCCACACCTCTTAAACACTCAATGGACACCATCGAGTTCCTGGTCTCCCTGCATCGGCCCAACCCCAGGCCCCTGGTCGACTTGTGCATGCATCTTCTGTTACAAATAGCTGAGGCTCCATAAACAGCTTAACGCAATAGATAAGAGACAACACTCTTTTACGACCATAGCTGTGAGACCATCTACCGGTAATCCACCAGTGACAAAATGTGCACAAAAGAACAAAAAAAAAGACTCCCTGTTGTGATTTTTTCTTTGTTTGAAAAGCAGCCATGATGTGCCCAGTCGTGTCCCATGTAGCTCAAGTATAAATCGAATAGAAGCTGTGCATGTTTTAGTCCTGTTCAAGGTGACTGTTCATTTGACTGCTCCACCAGTAGAGTCCACCTTGAGTCTTTTTTTGCACTTGTTTACTACTCAGATCAAGACATTTGATCAGATTTTAATTCCACAGTTGTCTGATCGCTTCCCCTCTACTCCAGCAGCTGATCAGTGAACTCCACTCCATCCCTGAAAGAACCAGGCGACGCAAATGTATTGAAGTCTACCTTCAGTCTGCTCCAGTTCAGCTCCTCATCCAACCTGAAATACCCAAAAAATAACAATACTATGCTTAAAACAAGTGGCACTATCAGCAGGGAGCTCTGCTTGTTCTGATCCAGCACATCCTAATAGTTGGACATTTCAAAAATATGTTGTAAATACAAACACCAATTTTCCTGGGACAATAGTAATGATTTGCAAAGAAACAAAACATGCAACTTAGCCTGAAAAAGAAAGGTCTCTTCCATCAAGACCTTGTAGAATCACAGATGTCTTACGTTTCACATGGATGGTATTGACTGGAATTCAAAAGATAACATGTTTTGGTCGTTTAGTGCCTGCCGGTCATTATTTTCCCTGGAAACCATTGGTAAGCAGTTCACCTCTCCAGCATCAGTGCATGGCTGTTTGCCCACCACTTTGACTCCTTGTGTACCCACATCTCTAAAGATGAACATGTGTTTGCTGCACTGTAGACCAACTCCAAAAAATATCAATAGACAATCCATCCAACTCTTTTGGGATGGGCATGAAATGGTAGGATAATGTATGAAGAGCAGCCAAGAACAACAGGACAATCGACACAATACTAAGAATTCCAAAAGTAGACTGGAGCACTCCAGCCTGAGTTTACTCTAAGAGGTACACTTCTAACCCACAATAGAGTCCAAAAGAAATCCTTAACCACTAGTGGGATTCTTCCGTACGAAACAAAGCGTGCGTGCGTGTGTGTGTGTGTGTGTGTGTGTGTGTGTGTGTGTGTGTGTGTGTGTGTGTGTGTGTGTGTGTGTGTGTGTTGTGGATCCCAGTCTGAATGCAAACCCTGTTTCCCACAGATGTCTCTGTAGATGACAGTGCTCGTTCTACACGTCAGCACATCACTGTTCACATACCACCCTGTTTACTGGTCTGCTGCTTTTTCTTCTTTTTTTTTTTTTTAAAAGTATGAATGGTTATTTATCAGATTTGTGCTCTTTCTAAAGACACATGCCTGTGGAGATGTATCCATAGTAACTGCATAAAATCCTATAAACTTAAGTGTTTGTTGTAATGAGTTGTACATTTGGAGGATTGTAACTCAGCAGATAATTAAAAGATCATAACTGGTGATGGTTGACGTCTTCAATCCCTATTGTTGCTCACGTGTCTGTCATTAAACATCTAGCTGTAAACTTTTAAGTGACATATTGAGGGGATTGCGCATCAAACCCTTGTCCCTGTCCTCTCTATAGGATGAATTAGTCATACAGTTGGATGTGTAGGATTCATTTTCCTCAAATTTAAAAAGTGGAGGGGAAAGCGCCATTTGTGCACATACACTGACATATTCACGCGGGTGTGTGTTTTTAAAAAAATTTTTATTCGAGTTCAAGCCCAGGATCATATTATTTGAAGCTTGCTGTGCATTTGGGAAATGATTGAGGTTTTATTTTTTTCAAATGTAGCTCTATTCTTCTGTAGTATTCTCTTGGTGTAGCAGTAATTGAGGACTGAGCAACGCGGCAGCCATTAGCTAGCCAGTTGGACACGCTTAATATGAAGTCCTCAATCATTATCGCAATACAAGGTTCTGGTGTTTGAATGTGAACGTTTATTCCCCCTAGGCGGCAAACCTTCACGCTCTACAAATGTCAGCTGTAGTTGATATATCAATTAAACAGTAGCAGCCGTATCGTCACATGATTTAAACCTCAATCAGTCCAGTTCAGAATGAACCGATTTCAGCAGCGACAGACCAGTGAGCTGGATGGAGAAACAAAACTTTAAAAACTCAAGTATGCATATTTGTCACTTTATTTCATTTTAATTGGTATTAAAATCAGTCCAATTCCAACATGACATGAGATGAGGACATTAGAGGAGGTAGTTACATGACAGTGAGAGACACATGAGATTCCACGTGATCGTTTAGTATGTAGAAGTGGTGCAGTAATTAGTGACACTAGTCAGCCTCTCTTCAGCGCCATCTGAAAAGTGGCACACAGCTTCAGTAGTAAAGCCTCATTTACATCAAATGTACGAGACAGTTTCAGTATCAAAACAATACTGACAATACTGTACAAAAAAACAAAACAAGTGACGCGTGCTTTGAGCAAATTGTTGTTTACTGATCGGATGTGCGTCATAATACAGGTAGTGACAATTTCTCATTCGAGTAAGGGCAGAATACTGAACACATTCTCATCTCACAATATGAAGAAGTCTAGATGAATGCTTGCTCCTCGTGTTGGAACCACCATGCTGTGGAACCTAGAGAGTGAAACCATATCGAGCTTATAACCAACATGAAATGACGAGTGGGTTACAACTAGACGTGGATCAACATGTTTAAAAAAAAAAATCTGGTTATTTAAAATCTTCGAAATGTTTTAAAAGGGGTTACTTCAGAGTGAGACGGACTTCATACTGGATATAGCATGATAGTAGGACCAGGTTGCCTGTGCTACTGCAAGTTTTGGTACGGATGCTAAAAAAAAAAAGATTAGTTACAATTTTTCCACGCTCTTCATACAAACAGCATTCCTCCTGTCCGAACTCATGAAAACGAAATCTCTTTCAAAAGTCTGGTGGCCAAATAGCATGCGTTTCACAGACCTAGCTACTCGATTCAGGCAAACAGCAACTGTTAAGGGTCCAGTGTGTAGAATTTAGTGACATCTAGTGGTGAGGTAGCAGATTGTAACTTCCCTTTCATTGTGTGTAGCGGTGCGATGGCCTCCTGGTAGTCTCTCCAGGTTGGTTTATCTGTTCTGAGCTACCGTAGAAACGGAGGGCCTATGGAGCTATGGAGGATAATACTCTACTCTACATTTCTTGAAATATAGAGTAGATCCTACACACTGGCCCTTTTAAGTTTCATAACTGATGACTGGATCTTTTCTCTCCAGATGGACACGGGCACTATGTAGAGAAGTAATGATTCTAGAAACCAATAACTTTCACCATACAGACATCACGTATCATTATATGTATCATAGACATAGACGTAATATTTAGTAACACAAAAAGTCAAATTTTGCATTTCAAAGGTTTTCGAAACAGAAGCTGCAAAAAACCTTTCATCCAAAATTGGAAAAGCAAACAAGCCGTTGGACATCGACTAGCAGTTTGTGTAGCCTGTAAAACACAGTGCATGGAGTCTGCCGTAACACACCAAAATCCTTTAAGTGTTATTGTGAAAAAGAAAACGTGACATCCTCTTCAGTTGTGTTACTCGGCCAACCCGAGGCAGAGAGGGCGCAGAGGAGAGGTACGCAAAGCAAGCAGCTTTAAAATGAGCCCGTCGGCCTGTTCTGGAACACAACTACGTCACATAATGAGTTTAGCAGTGGAGTGGCATTTCCACAGTGAAAAATACCGATCTATTATCAAAAAGATGTATCAAAACTCCTACTCTCTACGCGTCGCTATCAAAACCGAGCGACCTGCATGTAGTGCATGTTTAACCCTCCTCTCCAACAACTCACACAGTGTTATATATAGAGCGGTTCACGTAGTAGTGCCTCGGAGAAAAGGTGCTGGTTCGGTGAAGAAAAGCGGTGCAGCAGATCGGCGAGGTTGTCTGAATGGTCCCACAGCGATGTGTTCCAGATCCGGGCTGACCACACAAGATCAAATCAAATTATTGATTATCAAGGTTACATTATTGGGTATTTTACCCACAAAGCCATGTCAACTTACCTGTTAGAATTTAAATGCCACTTCATCATCAGGTAAAGAAACTAGAAGAGAGGAGACAGATTTAAAGGACAACTGGTAAAGCCTGTAGAGCCCCCTGCTTATGAAAGCAAAGGGGACAGCTTTGAGCCGCAGTCTGAAGTAGGACTGGGGTTGCAAAATTCCGGGAAAATAATATATGATAAAGTTCTATTCTCAAATGGATTAAACAAAAAAATTGTATTACAAATGTTTGAATGCATGTCTGCTCACGAACAGACCAAATGTTTTTTTGTGGCGAAGGTGCCAGTTGGGGGGACGAAGGCGCTTCCCCTTTTGAATGGTAGGGAAAACACTGGATATTTAGTTTACCAAGTAATCAATACGCTAGATAATGACAATGACGTTCACAAATAACAGAATGTTGGAGAGCTCAGCTAATAGGTGAATTAACTGATTCACATTGTCTGATTTCTACTACGGACGCTCCGGACACGTCACAGTGTAGATTGTTTGGACTATGGGGGAAGAAGATGCTTCCTGTGATGTGGCGTCAGCAGCAGCAGCTCACTATTGGGGCTTCTAAACAACTATGAACTTAGTTCTTTTAACTTTTGAAAAATAACTGCAAACCCAATGCTAACATACTGCCAGCAAACACAGCCGAATGTTAAATATCCCATGTCAAAGTGTCCCTGAGCAAGACACCTGACCCCTAATTGCTCCCCGGGCAAAAATGTAAAAAAGCCATGGGTTAAAAATGTAATGTAAGTTGCTTTGGATAAAAGCATCAGCTAAATGTAATGTAAAAATAACAGGAAATGCTACATGAACATCCAAGCTGTCATTTGCCACTGGAGTCCTTTTAGACTCTTTAATTACAACAAAGCAAAACCGCTTGGATTGCCCTGCTGCGACTAAGATTAACTTAAATTGTGGACAGAAGCTGTACTTCCTTATTATACTATCTCACCTAGTACAGGTTCTGGTTGGTGATGATACAATAAGTCACGTTATTGGTTGATTTATTTTTGTACATTCTAAATCATGAGTTTGTTAATGGATAAAGTTAAACACTGAACAAAATAACTACATAGCACACTATTAGAGTAGCAAGAGCACACAGCAGCTGTTACAGATGTGACCCAAACAGACATCATCCCACTAGTCAAGGAAGACAGGTTTCAGGAACAAATGTGGTGCACATGAACTGACTGGTGTGAAATATTATTAGAATGTTTGAAGTTTGAATTTGTCAAATTCAAAAATCTAGAATGGCCACTGTATATGTTCAACTTGGGTAATAAACAGATGGGCGCAAATCAAGGGGTCTGAGGGAGGAAACATGAAGTATTGCAGATCATTTTCTCACCAGCTCGCCTGCACAGCTTCGATGTCACTCACAAGGTTTTGGGCCAAACAAATCCCAAAGATCTGTGGATGAAAAAGAAGAAAAGGGTAACCTGGGATGATGCTTTTGCGTTTTCCTGGGCCATCATGGGGGGGGGGGGCGCGGGGGACATGCAACTAGCCTGCAGGAGTGCGACTCCGATGAAGATCCCGGCCACCAGGGTGAGGTTGTCCTGCAGCCACTTCTCGAACTGCGGGACGCAGCCCTTCACGTTGATGTAGTCCTTTTGCTCAGAGTCCTGGTCAACACAACCTCCTCTCATCAGCCTCACAGGTTTAATTCAAGATGTCTGAATGAAAATGCTTTAAAAAACGATCCATAAAAAGATCCCTATGTGTGTCTTTTTAGCACACATAAGGATCTTTGACTGTCAAATACTGCAACAGTGACACTACATTTTCTTTTTGTCTGCCTTTAGCAAAAAAGCTACCTGGAAGAATATCTTTGGACATAATAGTGACCGGCCTTAAAATCCCTGTTCAAATATGAACTGACACCAAATTGGAAAATGAAATATATATATATATATATATATATATATATATATATATATATTTCTAAATGAATAAAAAGTAGGAGGGGTAGAGGGAGGGTGAGAGCGACTTACAGGTTTAGCTCGAATGTCGTATCCACACTGAGTGTTGATTACATCCTCCTGTAGGCAGAAAACAGACCACGCTGATTTCACCAACAAATCACAAAGTGAACCTTAGAGATACATACGGAGAAGTCAGTATGAGCCAGGTGCTGTGTGCAACCTCAGGTTTGATGCTGTTCTTGCATCGTGCACGGAGGACAATAGAAATGTGAGCAAGGGACTCGTACCGCCGGGTCCTTGGTGCAGCAGGAGAAGGGAACGCCACACTTTTCTCGACTAGGATTCCCATCAGTGCAGTTAAAATAGATGTTCAGGTTCCAGTCGTCTGCTCCAAACGCACCGCAGCATTCCCACTGAAGTCACACCGAAAACAACCCCACTGTCAAAAACGTCCACACACTCACTTAATTCACATCCAAACACTTACAAATGGTTAAATTAGTGAAAGGAGCCTTCAGTCACATCTTCTGCAAATCAATTCTTACTGAATCCCCATGTCTGTATTAACAGCATCATATTATAGTGTGCAGTTCAGTCCTTTAGTGTAGTCAGGGATGGACTTCAAAAGGGAAGTATCATAGCTTCTTGGCAGTGGTGAAGGAAGTACTCAGATACTTAAAGTACCCAACAATGTGGAGATAAGGTCATAACATCAAGATTGTACCTCAGTTAAGTGTGAGGTAAAGTATATTTTGCTATGAATACTTTTAAGTATGACAAGTAAAAGTTAAGCAGAAAAATATGTTTCAAATTATTAGATTGTGATTATTGACATATTCATGTGTTCATTTCTTTAATGGTAACTAACTGATTCACTGGTAAAAATGGAGTTCATTTTAAATACTCAATATATTGCTGGGTACTTTAATATATAATATTACATCAGGATGTATGTTTTGAGTATATTTTCTATGGATACACTTAATGTGCTCTCCTATTTAGAGTCAGATAAATGTAATATATTACAATGTAAGACAAATACCTTTAATGGGTATGCAAGTTTTCCGTGGAGGACTTTCTGGCAAACCAATGTGTAGACGGATTCTAGACTCTTCAACACTCATGACCAACTAGAGGTGCGTGGTAGCGTCTGCATCTGCAGAAGCCGTGCCTGGAGTTCTTCATCTTATTCTCATGTGTTCTAGGCGTAGTATAGGTAGAATAGGCAATTCTTTGCCTGTCACCATGTTTGAATGCAACCATTGCCATGTTTTTTTCTTTGCAACCAGTGAACAGAAGTTACCATGTCTGGAATCAGGAGAAGTGAAGTAGCGACTTGTCAATCAGGGTGTAGCCTCGTCCTAAAGCAACCCCTGATTTATGCACTACGTGACTCTAAATAGGTCATCATTTAGCAAAGGAACATTCTGCTGATTTGAAGAGGGCTCGAAACTAGAGAGTGAACTTTTATGACACTTTTGGATCCGCTTTACTCGACAGATCCAGAAGTTGTTGCTGCTCTCGCTCTCTGGCTCGTTGAGCCAACTGTAAATAGTGTGTTTACAATCAGTAAACCACAAATTCCAGCACAGTGTTCTTTCGAGGTTATTGAGTAAATGTACTGTCATGTTATCTAAGTAACTGCTGACATTGTCTTCATCAGGATTGAACAGGAAGGACGTACGTATTCCTGAGTGAAGTCGATTAGGTTCTGCAGATCGATGTCGTCCCGGTACGCCCGGATGTTGTTATTGATAAACAGGTTGAGCTGGTCTTTAATCCAATCCTTAAAGACAAACGCCAGGACTCCCGTCGTCAGCTCCAAGAAAAAGATAATCCCCAGAAACACAGAAAACTACGGCAGAAAAGACAGACGGCAATAATGTAGGTTTACCCATCATGCATCACTGTACTGTGCAAATAGGAAGGTCTTATCATGGAACATACAAACTTGAGTAGAAAGGTGTTTTCCCGCAGGGCTCCGATGCATCCCGCAAAGCCCAGAATGAACATGACTCCCCCGACCACCATGAAGAGCCAGACTGGGTCCAGCCCCCCCAGGTCCGTGATGGACGAGATGTTGGACAAAACCCCCTGAAGGGAAGAGACAATACAAAGTCTACATTTTAATGTTGGGGGAGAATTGGTTGACTGCAAATTCCACCACATTTAACACCTATTTATACTCATTTGAAAATTCTGATTCAGTAAAATGGTTCTCATTTATAACTCCCTGAGTTAGATCAGCAGATACATAGCTAACTACTTAACAAGGATAAAATTGTGCAAACATTGTGCTAAGGTTTAAAGATGAGTCTACTGTGTTTGGCCCAGAACAAGCTGCCAGAAGCATAACAATGTTTTTACATCACTGCTATAGCTCCACCAAAAGTGAAGGGGAAAATAGATGCCTGCTGCAGGTCAAACAATGAACTAAAAGAGGCCAAAAGGCTCAGTGAACCAGAGAGGGACGGCAGCATTAGTGTTAATTCACAGTCATTTGATCGCCTTAACATGTGATTTCGACCTAGGGATGTTTGTTTTCCTGCTCCGTTATCGTTAATTGAAAAAAGGTACAAAATCCAAAATGGTCCGGAAGAATATTAAATAGTGCTGCTTTTGGAAAAGGAAAATGATTATCAGCAAACAGCCTTTGATGAAAATAAGTTTTCAGCATGTTGGACTGTCTCTGCTCACCTTCTCACTCCATGCCCACAGGCCGATGCCCACCAAGGCCATGCCCAGCAGCTGTAAAACACGCAGATGTGAGCATGCACAGGGACACATTCACACATTCCTCAACTCATGTTGTCTTGAATTGTCTCTCAGGATGATGTCATAGCTCTACCTTAGTTACAGATGTTGATTCAGAAGAGGGCTTCTTCCTCAGAATGACATCACATGTGAAAGCTGCAGGTCTTTTTAATTATTGTTTCACCTTCCCCTCTATGTATATACATTGATGAAAACGCCCCACTCTCACGTCTCCATCTCTTTGCGTTGCATTGTGAATTATTTTTTCTGCAGAGTCAGCTTTCTTAGACGTATAGTCATGTTTGCAACCTTGCACATTTGTACCTTTCGATAGAGCTTTCTATTAACTCTAAGCCAGAACAGCAGTTCATCGATTGACAGAAAGTTTTTATTTTGGGAAATGATCAATCATGCAGGGTATTTCTTAAGCAGAGGGTTTGCTTTTTGAGCATTTTGAAAAGGGAAGGACAAAACATGTATTTAGAAGACCACTAATGTGGGAGTAGATGAGCAAGCAGCCCAGAAAACCTCTTTGCTGGGAGAACTGATATCTGTTTCACTCTTTTGATAGTCTGATGATTGTGTCAACAAGAACAATCGTAAAAAGATCAAATGCCTGCAGCCACCTGACAGCGGCAGGACGGACTGTAATGGAACTAGTTAACTGTTTGAGAACAAATCTGTTGTTCCTGGGTGCACATCTGTGGGAGCTGCATAATGGTTGGCTGAGCTGTTTCAGAATAAAGAGACCAGCGACGTGAAAGTGTTTTTATTCATTGCCTTGTTACTCACCTTCACAAAGCCCTTTTGTAACTTGTGAAGTGAAACAGGAGGTGTGTTTGAAGTTGCCCCCACATCACTGTGGGATTCAAATCATTATTTGTATTTTCAAATAAAAAACTATATAACTTTCAAAAGTGGTTTAATTTGCAGTTCATGAATATTTGTAACATGTTTCAGCCAAACCTCGCTCAACTAAAATGTATGCAAAAAATATCGTATTTATATTACGAGAGGATTTAATGAAAATAGATTGATGAATTTGTAATCAGACGTGAGACCAAATAAGACATGTAAAATGGATAATAAATAGCTGTAAAGATCCACTCATTTTACTTTGTTATACAATATAGTAAAGTGATGTATTGGAACTTGTGACAGTTCTTTTACTAACACATGATAGAAGATTATTAGTTACCTGAACTGAATTCACAGGCAGATTATAATCACATCAAAATCTCACAGGGGCCTCAAAACCGGGACCACTCACACGAATGACATCACCTCTTTAGACATATTACGTCATGTCAAGTAGGTCGCTGTATTCCACACAGGTGGAGCAGTCACTGTGGGTGTGATATGAATGATTAGCCGTGACTGAGCTGTCATTACTCCACTCTAAAAAGCCGATTAGCTGTGAGGCTCCGCGCCGCTTCACCGGACCAATAGAACCACAATATGGCGCGCGTGCATTGAACCGACTCTATGTGAATATGACCGATGAGATGAGACGGTGATCGGGGCCTTTCTCCCGATTGGCCGGTGGACTCGATAATAACCGAACTGAACCAGAGAGAGGCGCAGAGGAATACAATAATAAACCTTCTCACCCAAAACAGGATGTTGAATCCGAAGATGAAGTATTTGATGCAGCAGCTGACGTCGTTGCCTTTGTACTGATTCCCCGACATGTTTGAGGGGAGGAACACGGCCTGCTTTACAGGCTTTGTGTGCGGGGTGGAACAGGTTCAGCGCTGCGGGGAGGCATTACCACTGGGTCCGCTTCGAACCTTCTCACAGCCGGCTTCGAATCCGCATCGGGAGCATGTCGCGGGCTTCTGGAAGCGTGCGCACGCGGAGTCGCGGAAGGTGGAGAGCGGGCGGTCAACCCCAGAATAAAAAAGATCCGCTATTTTCTGGGCGAATTGCGCCTGGAGGAGGCGTACCGCTGCTGCGGGAGCTCGTCGACGATTGGCTGGAAGAAACGTTCGAGAGACTGAAGACGTAACCAATCATATTCGAGGAAAGATGGGCAACTTCCTGTGTCCTGCGAATCATAAAAGAGATTTTACTGCTACTCAATAATGATACAACAATAAGGATCCAGATTTCAATATTATATATCTGAGATATGTTTTTACTTTTAGCTTAGCTGCTTAGAAATGTGACTAACTGTACTTCATACGTGTTTTTGTTTCTCTGAGATTTGTCGTACAGTTACTCACTTTACACTTTAAGCCCACTGGAGGGCGAGAGAGCTCACGTGATGGGTAAACATCTCAATCAAGTTTCGACTGTTATGTCTTACTAAAACTTCTGTTTTCTAAAATCTAAGTTCAGTACAGTTTAGTTTCGGTCTTTCTTCTCAAAATGATGATCAGAATTTTATTGTTACTTGAAAATACTTACAAACCTTTAATTGGAAATTCATTCATTTAATATGCCCATTTCAAGTAATGCCCTAAAGAAAAAAGAAAATACATATAACATAGAAGCCGACAAAGAAGTTTTATTTTTGTTTAGGTTTTGTTCATTTCAAAGTTACAATACTTAGCCTTTACAATTTAGTTATGAAAAATCCACCTTATCAGCAGTGGATTGGATATAATTGACAAAAAGGCATGATGATCCGGACACTAGTGACTTAGAGGTCACAGTGTTAGCTGTGGAGGGGGTGTGACTGGTAGAGCACCAGTAAAGGTTCTCTCAGGGAGCCTCTCTTCAGACAGTAAAGACTCTGTGTTAGGGCTTCATGAAGGACCAGACTCCCAGTCTCGTCCATATAACGCAGCTGAAAGCCCACTACCTCATGAGCCTTCAATGGCATAACAGCTGACACATCAAACACATCATATCCAGATGAGGATTGCTGATCCAGGGTCACTTGTCTCTCCTCCAGGGCTGGATTCTCCACCAGAGTGCCCTTGAAAGCTGAGGCACTGTGCAAGGCAACAGTTATACTGATGGGATTGGGGTGCAGTGTCTTCCTGTACATAACCAGCTCTGCAGCCAGCATGGAGGGGTTCAGGCCGCTGGCATTGAACCAGATCCACCCTGAAGGAGCATGATGTGGACCTGGGTGATAAAAGAAATTAAAAGAGAAGGGACATATCTTGCATTAATAGAGCAGCAAACAACTACATGAAACACTGTAAAAATTATCCTAATATTGCTACAGCGTTGACCAAAAAAAAGATGTTACCTGCAAAACCATTTTTTTTCTCAAAAAAACAAAAAACAAGTTTATGGTCAAATCTGTAATTTGTGTTCATTTAGTTAATTATGCTCCATTTAGGGTCAAACAGACTATAAGGCAGGGTCTGCTTTAGGCCGGGTTTACTGTGAATGACAGGTTGCTGCTGCTACCAAAAACATATCAGGCGTCACTGCATCACTCCTGCGCATTTCAGATATGGTTACGCCGTGGCCGTACTGTTCAAAGATCGCTTTATAGCAGCTGTCCACATACCAATAAGTGAGGTCACCATAACCACATCCACTTTTTCTATAGTGTGTAGCTTGTTTGCATTCACGGTAATATTATCCCAGAGATAATTCAGATTGAGAGCTGGAGAAGCTGTATACTCCCAAATTGGAAATGGAGGAAATAAAGATTTTTTATTGATGTCTGTCTTTTTACCTTTTTGTACAACTATATTCAGGACTCAAAAGTCGTTTCTGATATTTCCTTCCATGCACAAACACTTTCTATTTTGTACATACAAAACTAGTGGGAAAACCAAATAGGCCTACTGCAGATCCAAAAGCTCAAACAGTGATGTGTGATAAGCATTGCAAAAAATGTCAGTGTAAGCTAATGCTAACTACTTTGTTCTTTAAGGAAATACAAAACAAGACCTGCCGTGGTTGAAAAGGTTTCAATAAAACTATACAGTAGTTGTAATTATGTGAAGAAAAAAAGTTTACACATACACAAACACATTTAAAATAAGTTGACATTTGATTTCAAATCCTTACCAACTACACTCCGAAAACTCTGCACCACCGTTCCATCTGAACCCCCAAAGTCCTGAGCCTCCAGTGAGTCCAATTGCTGATAGATCTCTCTCATATAAGGATGTGGCTTAGCATGATGACTCGCAGACACTTTATTGATATGTAGCATTTCCAAAATGGCTTTGTTGCGCCCCTGGTCATCCTCTGTATCTCTGCGATGATCCATCAACAGCGAACCTGTGACGGAGAGCAGCAGGAGGAAGACAAACGTTATATCAGAAAATCCAAAACAAACTCCTTGGAACATTCTGAGTTCTGATTATTTCCAACCAGTCTGATAAGATTCTTTATCTGCACTTCTTTTTCTTTTAAAGTGCAGTTGGAATTTCCACTTGACAGGCTATTGTAACAGTGTGGTCCCTGATAGGTATGCAGGAACCACAGGGGCTGTCAGGACCCGGTGAACCCATTCCATTCTGAAGCTGAGGAATGTTTCTTTTAACAAGCACTACCAGGGACTCCACTGAGCCTGTCCTGATTTGCTCTTAACAAGCAACATCTGGTCTGATGCATGGTCCGCGGAACAATTAAGCAAGTAGAGCAAATACATCCCTACTATCTATTTGTCTTTCTATTTATAAGAAACCTGCCACCATTTAGCAGGGGTTGTTGAAAAAAAAGATAATGCTAGCAAACATTGAGTGAACCTCATTCCCTGTCTCAAGCCATCTGTAGATTAGCAGATTAGATAAGTAGAACTATGCCGCTGCTGAATTACAGGACAAAATTCCTGGGCAACATCAGCTAGCTGTGCTTGCCAGCCCACCAAACGTTAGCTTGCTGGTTGTACAGAAATGAATCAAAGAGTTGTCTTTAAGTTTAACATGTTATATTCTGCATTAGTTCTATGATATTTGGGATGTCTGATGTTTTCTTGCAGAATCCAAGTCTGAATCTAAGTCTTATATGCAGCGCTTGGTGTTAATATTTCTGCTCACCAGCCACTGTGGCAACTGGTTTTCCGAAGTTACTAGCCAGTCTGCAGTTTTAAGTTTAATTTGATTAAAGTTGACTACGGTTTGCTACAATTTACATGAAAAACTAGATTTAGAACCTTTAAAATGCAAATTACCACTATAAACCCCCAAATCAAGACAACATATGATGTATAGTCACCAAGTCTTCAGTTCTTATAAGTGTGTATAGCTCATTTTGTATGAAAACATATGCAACTGATTAAGACAAAAAGAGTGGCTGGTGCATGCGTTTAAAACTCTGCCAACTTCATGAGGACCACAATCAGGACAATTAATTATTTTCTTGGCTGGATCATAAACCAGCAATTCTCAACTTGACCTCCACTTTTCTCCTTTTTTTCTTTGTTTCCTCTTGATTTTCGGTTTCATCACTAGTTTTTTCTGGGTCCATTATTTTAGATGTGTTTTAAGGAGACTACTGCCTGGTGACTACCATGTTAACTAGCTACTTATTATTGATTTAGGTTAGAGCTAGGCAGTATTTGTTTAAAATCAATCATCATCATTTTGAAGCACATACGACAAAGAGTAGGTATCACAGTAGCTTTTGTTGAGGCTGGATATTCGACCCGGCACACAAAGATTCACCAGGGCTGATAATCCGTAGAAGTGACTTTAATGAATGCAGATTTCAAGGGAAGGGGACAGCCGGGGGAGGACGCCGGAGGGATGCAAGGCGGGCGGCACGGCAGGTCAGAGCGGGGACAGCGGGATCTGGACAGAGGAATCAGGGTTAGACAAATAGACAGTAGGACACTCAAAGTCTTGCGAGCCAGGATACGAAGTCAAGTTACCACATGGGGGTGTGTAACGATCTGGTGCTGGAGAAGCGGACAGCCCGGGTTTTAATACTGGAGGGGTGAATTGTGGAATGGGAATCAGCTGTGTGGGGATGGTTCAAGATGACTGGCCAAAACCCCAGACACTGGGAAAAAGGAAGATACAAACACACAGGATGGGGAGAAAAAAGCACCTGACCCATAACAGCTTTTTGTAAATGTATTGTATGTGAAGGGGTAAAACTCTTGTATAGTGGGGATTCATACTCATACATACATTTACGTTTATTGCACGACATAAGTATTTGATCACCTACCAACCAGTAACAATTCCGGCTCTCACAGACCTGTTAGTTTGTCTTTAAGAAGCCTCCTGTTCTCCACTCATTACCTGTATTAACTGCACCTGTTTGAACTCATTACCTGTATTAAAGACACCTCACACACACTCAATCAAACAGACTCCAACCTCTCCACAATGGACATCAGACCATCAGGGATAGAATTGTAGACCTGCACAAAGCTGGGATGGGCTACAGGACAATAGGCAAGCAGCTTGCTGAGAAGGCAACAACTGTTGGCGCAATTATTAGAAAATGGAAGAAGTTCAATATGACGGTCAATCTCCCTCGGTCTGGGGCTCCATACAAGATCTCCCCTTGTGTGGCATCAATCAGCCCAGAACTGCACGGCAGGACCTGGTCAATGACCTGTAGAGAGCTGGGACCACAGTCTCAAAGAAAACCATTAGTAACACACTACACAGTCATGGATTCAAATCCTGCAGCACACACAAGGTCCCCCTGCTCAAGCAAGCGCATGTCCAGGCCTGTCAGAAGTTTGCGAATGACCATCTCGATGATCCAGAGGAGGAAGGGAGCTTTCTGGTCTAAACTCCACTCGCCATGTTTGGAGGAAGAAGGATGAGTACAACCCCAAGAACACCATCCCAACCTCTTTCTTTGGGGATGCTTCTGCAAAGTGGACAGGCTGACTGCAGCGTATTGAGGGGAGGATGGATGGGGCCATGTATTGCGAGATCTTGGCCAACAACCTCCTTCCCTCAGTAAGAGCATTGAAGATGGGTTGCGGCTGGGTCTTTCAGCCTGACAACAACCTGAAACACACACACAGGGAAACTAAGGAGTTGCTTCGTAAGAAGCATCTCAATGCCCTGGAGTG